AAGGTTTTTAAAAGGTATTTATACGGTATTTATGAGATATATGTATAAATTTACACACATATAAAGATAGTTTGTGTCTATAAATATAAGCTTTCGCATATTTTTTTTTGATAAATTTCAAATTTTATAGTGACTTTTTGATAAAATTAGAAAAAGGGGTATTTTTACAAAGTGGTATTGGAAAAGGGGTATTTTTGAAATTCTCCCAATTAAATTAATTTTTTGTTTTTAAGCACTTCATTAAGAGTTATACCATTGGAACACCAAATTTTTCAACATCAAGATAAAGTTGCTTATAAATTTATTTTTAAAAATTTAATGCAAAAAAATATGTAAGCACCTTCCAATGGTTAGCACCATTGGAGATGCTCTAATAAGTTAAAATAAGATATACTCCGTACCTATTGAAGATAAGACCAAAAATTAGAAATAAATAAACTAAACAGTGAAATAGACTAGCGAGAGGTGTAGATGCATGTGTGTGTGCATGTGTATAAATATAAGATACAGAAGAAGAAAAAATATAGAACATAGGTTTTACATCGATTCTTCACTATCATCGTCTTTCTTTAATTCTTTTCTAACACAGCTCTTCGATCTCAAATAAGAATTTATTTATCTTTTTTTTGTTCTTTTTTTCTATAAGACATAAAGAAGAAAATGTTGGGGTCGAGTAGTGGATGCGAGTCAGGATGGACTCTGTACTTAGACCAGTCTTTTTCTTCACCAAGCCCTTCTCGTTTTAGAGACAGCCATGGGTTTGAAAATAGAAGAAGAAGAAGCAAAGATTCATGGGACCAAAACTATTTGCAACAAGGAGGAGACGAAGACGAAGAAGAAGAGGAAGAAGATTTGTCGATGATTTCAGATGCTTCTTCTGGTCCAAGGAATATTTCTGAGGAAGATTCAGTGAATAAGATTAATATTGTTGGTCTCAAGAAACAGAGCAAGAGAGACAAGAAAAGAAGAGATTACGAGAAAACGAACTCTGTTCTTGATGATACTGCTAGCTCTCCCCTTTACAATTTCCCTCATGTAAGTCTTTCTCCTTTTTTTTCATCGATTATTTTTTTTGTAAATAAACTGATGATAGTCCTAGTCCACGTACTGTCCTTTGAACAAAGATCAATGTTTTGGTAGATTTCACTAAATCGATAAGTCAGGATTATTTCGTTGCGTTGTTTACACAGTGTTAGCGTTACATGTTATAATGAATAAATCATATTAGAAACACAAACGTAAACAGATACAATTACTCTATGCATCTTTTTAAAAGAGGATTTTTGTTCTTTAGTTTGTTGTATACTGTGGTTCTAACAATTTTGTTTTAATATATATATATTGTAGATGTTGCAGAAAGGTGTTGGTGGTAATAAGATAGAGCAAACCTTTCCAGAAAGTACATTGGATTACTCGCAAGGCTTCTCGGCTACTCAGTTTCAGGTCTCTCTCTCTCTCTCTCTTAGGTTCTGTTGGGTACACGTGACTTGTCTCAAGAGTCTCACTCTATATATGTAATGTATTTGTGTGTTGAAACAAGCAGGACAAAACAGCATTCCAAGAGCAGTATGCTTATTTGCATATGGAAACCAGATTCTAAATAACCAGTTAAGTAATGTATAATACATATATTATGTTCACTACTTTGTTTTATTAATCTTACTTTATGATTCCAATCTGACTAAAACGTTGAAATAAACAGGTGAGGGTCAAACTGAAGAGCAGCTATATTTTGGACATTGTTGAAGGATTTTATGGATTCGAGTAATGATTATTAAATTGAATCTTGAAGTTCCATATTATGAAAGATATATAGGAAGGAGTTTTAAATCAAAAAAATACTTGCTTGCTACAGAAGAAACCCAACAATGAAGGGACAGCAAAAAAAGTTTAAGGGTTTCTCAAATTTAAAATTAAGTCTGAATCTTTCCTCTCTTTTGCTTTGTAATTTTGTCACAAACGAGTTTTCCTGTAGCCGCCCTAATATATATGCTATAATACTTTTTTTTTTTTGTCAACACTCTAATACTCATTTCAATGCCTAAATAAGTTTTTTTTTTTTTTTTTGGGATTATTTATGATTATGCAATTGTAAGCCCGTCATTGCTGCTCTTTTGAGTTCTGAGTCAGATTTGGGGGGGGGGGGGGGTGTTAACTGGCCCGCCCAAGTATAAAAAGTGAATAGGCCTGATGGTATTCTGATCCATCTGAGCTTGGCCCAAGTTAAAACCACAAATCATGTCTTTAATAGCCGTGTTAGTCTAAATGGTTGTGAGTTGCGAGTTGGATTTGATGACATGTGGTTGTTACTTGGGAAGTAGTTGTGAGATTAATAAAAGGAACAAGGTTTATCAGATCTGTTACATGGGTTTCTTGTACTTCAACTACTTTGTTAATCAATAAAATCAGATGCTACAACAACAAACAAGGGGAAAAAAAAAAAAAAAAAGATAGGGCGGCTCACGTCCTAAAATTAGATATCTTTTGGCCTCTCCACGCTATCTTGTTGTTTTACTCTGTCGGACTCTATACTACCACCCAAACTTAAATGTTTTACAAATTAACATGCATTTTGCACATTATCTCTGTCTTTAATATTTTATGGAAAATGTGCTTAAATACCATTTTGAAAAGGGGAAATATAATACTGGCTCCGAATTGATATTATTATTTGTGTATTGTGTGTTTATATGTGCGTTTTCCACTATTAGAATGGAATCATACCTTAACTAACCATATTAATTAGTCGATTGATGGTTGTAATTTGAGCCAAAGCCAGACGTTTCGCTCTTCAACGTGGGAAAAATACGTAAATTAAGCCAAAGCCACACGTTTGATTCATATAACTTCATATCTAAAATGTGTACATAATTGAAATTTATATATCTATCTTTTAATAATATTTGTTGACAGCTAATTTAAAGTAGTTGGGACCAAATAAAAAAATGTAGGTAGCTAACGTCTCCTCGCATTCATTTCACCTTGTAAAGCCTAAAACTATAAATCTTAGTAATCTCTAATACGTCGTTGAGCTCTATTTATATTGGAGTCTTTCTCTCACTCAAACGTATAATACAAATATAGATTATGTCGACAGAAATGGAGGTCGTCAGTGTTCTTCAGTACCTCGACAACAAATCCATATTGGTCATTGGAGCTGCGGGGTTCTTAGCAAATAGTACTCTCTCACTCTCTCTCTCTCTCCCTCATATATGTTCATTCTACTATTTACAACTTATGAAGTTATAAATAGACAGTATTCAAGATTTATATGTGTCAGTTGAGCTACACTTAAACATAAATTAACGTATTATATATACATTTTTAAAGCATGAGTAGAACAATATTGTTGATGCGTTATCATTTAGATTCATACATGCATGCATGTCGTCGACAATACAAAATAATAACAATGGATTTAGAGATTGCAATATGAATGTGTGACATAGATGTAATGAAGTCTACGCATTGTAAAATAATGCTTGTAGCTAGTGAATAGTAGAAGATTGATGAGTTCTCAGTAGATAATTTGTGGTTAATATATAACTTCAATGCAGTTTTTGTGGAGAAGATATTAAGGGTGGCACCAAACGTGAAGAAACTCTATCTCCTTCTAAGAGCATCAAATGAAAAATCTGCTACTGAGAGGTTTAACGACGAGGTTTTGTCTCCACATACTTAATTAGGCTCTGAACGTCTCTGTAGTTGTTAGATCTATTTAATCACTCATTCTAATTAGTTTTTTTAACTCTTTCTTCCTTAATTTTGGAAACATTTAATTATTTTTTGAAGCTAAATCCTACCAAAAAAAAAACTAAATTAAACCAAACACACTCATTTTGCTTCATTGCTGCAACTTCGTACTCTTTAGTTTGGTTTATTCAAATTAGTATCCCATATATATGACACCAACAAAAGAAACTCAACAACAAATCCTCGCTTACCCTAACTAAAACCCTAACTAGTACGTCAGAAAAATCAAGACCAAATAATTTAGCGACTTTTTTTTTGACCGCAAATAATTTATCAACTAAACATAACACTATTCAAATAATTAGAAAATATGGACATAATTTGATATAATAGAAGTTTTATAACTTTTGTGGTTCTTAAATCAATGCAGATTTTGGGGAAAGATTTGTACAGAGTGGTGAAGGACATGTATGGTCCAAAACTAAATGAACTTACATCAGAGAGAGTTACTATTGTCGGTGGAGACATTTGCCTTGAAGATTTAGGTCTTCAAGACTTCGACTTGGCTCATGAGATGATCCACCAAGTCGATGCCATTGTTAATTTAGCTGCAACTACTAAGTTTGATGAAAGGTATTTAAATTTAAATTTTTATTTGTCTATAAATTATTATTCCATCACAATGACTCTAATATCTTGTTATTGACTTATTAAACTTTACTATGTACTGCCATCACTTTTCCAATACAAGAAAATACAAACTAATATTCATTCAAAGCAAATAACATATTAGAGATGAAATATTTTCTACTAATTATAATTGATTGTTTTAAAGTAAAGGATGTCAATTAATTTGCAGGTACGATGTAGCACTTGGGATCAACACATTTGGTGCTCTGAATGTCTTGAACTTTGCCAAGAGATGTACAAAGGTTAAGATCTGTGTTCATGTATCAACAGGTATGAATACAAACTTAACTACTATATATGCTACCTGTCAGTGACACTGTGAAATAATTAACTTGTGTTTATTAGATCGCAAGTGATGATATATATTTACGTACAAGTGTTTTTTTTTTTTTTTTTTTTTTTGTCATCACGTACAAGTGTTCTTACATGTCAAACTAATCTTTAAACTGAACATAAGTTATATATCTATATCCGGTTTTCCTAATACCCTATTTCAACTAGAAGAATCTTAATATAAACGTTTACAGTCACATAATTTTCAGGTCGATAATGTGCTTTAATTAGAAGTATTAAAAAAAATATAAAGACATCATGTGTTTTATTATAGTATATCAATAAATGTACGTATTCACAAGGAAAAGCTAATTAAAAATTGAAAGAGACTATATATAGTAGGTTATCCCGATTTCGACATCTAACTACCAACTATCTATATACCCTTTTCTTTAATAAAATGAGCTACCAAAGTACCAACTCTCCGATCCGTTACTTTGCCAATCTATTTACATTAATCATATAGGTTTACATACAATTTACCCTATTTATATATATTATGATGAGTTTCTTACTAGGTAGTAACCCGATTTTTTTTTTTTAATTTTTTTTAGTACAAACTTATTTATAAAGTGCTAGTATAACTAGACAGTATCAAATTTTACAGTTAAACGCCAACAACTAACGAAATTTATATTATATATATAGCTTACGTGTGCGGAGAAAAATCTGGCCTGATAATGGAGACACCGTACCGTATGGGTGAGACGTTGAATGGAACCTCCGGTCTAGACATTAACCATGAGAAGAAACTGGTTCAGGAAAAACTTGACCAGCTCCAATCCATCGGAGCCTCTCCTGAAACCATCAAACAAGCCATGAAGGTTCTCGGACTCACCAGGTTCTAGTCCTACTTATATTTTTGTCTTTATTTTATGTGTTGCCAACATAAAAAAGTTACTTTATGTTAAAATTAGAAATTAGGATGATCTTAAATTTAAAATAATGATAGGGCAAAGATGTATGGATGGCCAAACACATATGTGTTCACAAAGGCAATGGGGGAGATGGTGGTAGGGGCAAAAAGAGGGAATATATCACTTGTGCTACTACGTCCTTCAATTATTACGAGCACATTCAAAGAACCATTCTCTGGTTGGACTGAGGGCGTCAGGTTAATTAAGCTCTCTTTTGTTAGAAAATGCACACTATATATTGAATCATTGATATAGCCTTACTAGTCAAATCAATGAAATTACTACTCTTAAATGTACAGGACCATTGATAGTTTAGCTGTTGGATATGGCAAAGGCAAGCTCACGTGCTTTCTTTGTGATCTTAATGCTATTTCCGATGTGGTACCTACTTTACACTCATCTTACTCTACATTCGACATTGGACATTTTTATATTATCATTTATAACTAATATTCATTTGGTGTTTTTTTTTTGTGACAACGTATGCATGGACCAGATGCCCGCAGATATGGTAGTAAATACGATTCTAGTATCAATGGCTGCTCAGGCCGGTAAACAAAAAGAGATTATTTACCATGTGGGTTCTTCACTAAGGAATCCGTTGAAAAATGAGACATTCCCTGATGTAGCATACCGATATTTCACAACCAAACCTTGGATCAACAAAGATGGGAAGGCCGTTATGGTCAAGAACATTCAGATATTGACTTCTATCCCTAGTTTCCACAGATACATGACCATGCATTACTTAATTTCATTGAAGGTAATAGTCTAACGATTTAATTGTAGATCTATATATGAAAAACCTATATATATATATATATGATTGATTATATGGTTTATAATTACACACAGGGACTTAAATTAGCAAACATGGTACTTTGCAAGTTGTTGGACAAGGAGTTTAAAGATTTCGATAGAAAGATAAATTTCGTATTCCGGCTTGTGGATCTCTATCAGCCTTACCTCTTTTTCAATGGCATGTAAGTAACTGTTTCATTTTTCTTCTTTCTAGTTTGGTTCTTTAATTATTCGTGTTTGTGTGTGTTTAATATGGTTTGAGAATTTAAGCCATATAATTAATAAAATACTAAGTAGCTGGAGTATACACGCAGATTCGATGATACAAACACAGAAAATTTGCAAAAAATGGTGCCAAAGTCGGAAAGCGAGATGTTCTATTTCGATCCAAAGATGATCATTTGGGACGGCTATTTTCTGAGTACACATATTCCAGGGCTTGTTAAGCATGTCTTCTAATAATTAAGTTCATTCTTTTACAATCTTTTATCTTAATCCCTTATCATTACCAACGAGTATACATTATTGTACTTATTCTTCCTTGATCCGTTTTCATTCGGATATGTTTCTAAATTTGTTTTTTTTTTTTTTCTAAATTCCGCATTTGCATCTCTGTAATGAAATTACATACTGTATTTGATATATTTTTCTTCAACGCCTTATGTTTTCTTTTAATTACATTACTTTCATAGTAGTGATCAATTAATTACCCCTGGCTATGCCAAACAGTTTTCTATAAATAGTATGGACAAAATGTTCAAGTAGAAAACTCAAAAATTGGTCTGAGTAGACTGTTTGCTCAGAGACTAGAGTACAAACCGAACCAGAATCTATAGAGTCGAGAGACAAACCAACCTGCCCACAGACAATCATATTCATACCTTGTGGTTTTACTACTTCCGTCTTCCAGCACCAACCAACCTGCCCACAAACAACTCTGTCTTCACACAGTACTCGAGAATCTTTCTCTAAAGTCATTTCATTCCAACTTATAATTCATTGCCTCATGTTAAAATTTAGCTTTAATAATTAAAATAACCATGTTACCAAACGAAAAAAGTAAAATATTATTAACGATGCTAATGTTGTTGATGACAATTAAAAAAAGAAAAAAAAAAAGAAACAGAGGAACATAAAAAAGAAAAAAAAAAAAAAGAAGCAGAGAGAGAGGTTTGATGCGTAACCAAGGATGCAATATTCCGCCTCAATCTCATCGCCTTCGTCTCTCGCGCTTCACTCAACCCTAACTCGATCGCCTCTCTCCTTGTTCATCTTCACTCCCAAAACCCTAATCTTCACCCGAACCAGATTCTCTGATTTCTCTTCTCCCCTTCTTGCTTCCCGGCGATCTCGCGATTTCATCAACGTAATTATTATATAATTTGATTTCTAGCTCCTATGCTTGTATATATGTAAGCAGTACGAGCTCCAATTTCTGAACTTTATTTTTTTTGTAATTGGGATTGTGATCAGGGGAGGGATGATTTCGCAGAGGATACGAGGAGCTGGAACCGGAAGATCAGACCGGAGTACGGGTTCGATGACGATTACGAAGGTGAAGAAGACGAAGATGATCACGAGGAAGAAGATAGAAGCTTGGATCTCTTACTTAGATTTGTAGAGAATGTTTTCAGAAAGGTTTCCAAGAGAGCAAGGAAAGCCGTCAGATCGATCTTGCCTGTTTCCATCTCTACGAAGCTCGTAACTCTTCGTCTCTTCCATTGCATTGATGATCCTTTCGAGTGTTTTAATCTAATCGAAATATCTTGCAAAAGGCTCACTTTTAAAATCTGTTTGATATATATAGGTGGGGTTTTCAGTGAATGGAGTACTTATTCTTGCATTTTTGTGGATCTTGAAGGCTTTCCTCGAGGTAAGTTACTACTCTAAACTTCCCATTTGGATTATACAATTATAAAGTAAGGTTCTTTGCTCTTGTTTAATGAATTGAACTTGGAACACTCTCCGTGTTATTTGATCTTTGTTACCATGCTTTAGATAGTTTATATTCTTTATGAAGTTGAGTGGATTGTTTTGCTGCCCTTTGGTTGCTGCATCTTTTTTATCGGATTTTACTCACCATGTCATCTGCTATCAATTGGAATAGAGAGTGTAGCATCAAGTTGAGAATTGTGTTGTTGAGTTGTAGTGAATCCAGTTTCATGGAGAATATATATTATTGCTAAAGAGTGTCCAACTAGATACTAATTGTTACTGAATTCAAGTTAAGCACCACCCCTCTGTTTTATTCTACTCACACATAGCACAATTGAATGTGTCTTAATTCATTACTTGACCCACCCTTCTTTATTATCACACATAGGCATGTGGGTCTATTCGTATGCATATAAAAATATAATTCACAAGGTTTGACTCTCTGTTAATGTGCATATGCTTCACTGTATAGGCTACTTTGTGTCTTCGAAAGAGACAATATGTTGTTTTATTGTCTGTCAGATTGACTTTTTATGTCATTTCTATGGTGGAACGCAGGTAGCTTGCACACTTGGAACTATTGTTTTTACGAGCATTCTTCTTATACGTGGACTTTGGGCCGGTGTAGCATACATACAAGAGAACCGCAACAACAGGATCAATGAACTTGCTGATGACCCCCGTGCTTGGAACGGGGTGCAACCAGTTTCTTGATTAATCCCCCTTACGTTCCCGGAAATCAGAACTCTGAGTTTTGGGAGCCAGAATTGGTTTAGGAGGGTCTTCCCAAGTCAATAAAACCACAGCTGAATTCAGAATCAGAAAGCAGCGTTACAGTAGATGTTCCGTTCATTGGCAATATCTGATGATTTAGTAAGTAAAACAAAGTGTTATATTTGTAGCAATCACCAAGTCAGCTATGGAATCTGGTGTGCAGCTCATCCAAGAATTAAGTCAATAAAACCAAATATATAGAAATCATAACATACTTTTACCTTTCTAGTTTTGTACATAATCAAAAGCTTCTTGACCCCTTGGCTTGAATGATAAATCTGCCTCCATGATAATCTGCGAGCACATCAGTGTTGTTTATATCTTCTTCAACCCAGTTCAATACCACCACACCAATCACATTGACATCTACGTTGTGATTAAAATTTGAACAGGTTGTACTTGGCCAAGTAAAGGTTCTCTATGTTCTGTCACAACTACAGTTTATCAACATCTCCATGAAAGGCCTATGGCAACCTCTTATACTCCCCCTTTGTTAAATATACGAAAATCTATAGGTTGTTTATTTGGTTTATGGTTGCATAGTTGGGAAGCAATTTGTATAGATGTCCTATTCTACTCTTACATATCTATATAGTTTGTGAATAATACAAACGACTCCCCTAGTTTTCGGTTTAAAATATATGAAACAGGGATTTTTATAAAGTTTATGTTTTCGAGTGTTGCTTTGAAATGTTTTGGTTCAGATTCGGTTGATATGTATGCCAGGTCCTAAAGACTAGTATTGGATTTCTTGTTAAGCTTCGTTTAATATATTTTAATCGTTAGACTTTAGACGCCTTTACGATTCGATACTGGTCATATAACTCACTATTTATTTACTTTATAAAAATAAAATTTCTTGTCAGTCGATGTGTTATCATTACTTGTTGTTATAGAGAGAAGAGAAGCTTATAAGGTATGGATATGTTTCAATGCACTTGGAAATTTACAAGGCAAATATATGTATAAGAACTTTCACCTAAAACAAAAACCAACTAAACACGCACAAAAGGCTAAAAAGGCGACAATAATGCCAAAAGATTAGTGGATGTATGAAATTCCACTAAGATGCATTTTTTGAAGTTTGATGTTCTTATGTACCTTTTATTCCCCACTTAGTGGTACACATATGTACACAGAGACAACACAACCCAATGCACATCATATATAATTTTCTTTTTAGTATATATACTTTTATATTTATATAACGAATGGTGTATAAAGTTTTCCTGTTCAATAGATGAAAGCATTCTATATCTGTAAATTAAATAAAACATATATAATGTTTGATGTTACCACTTCTTATTGAGAGCTTGATGGAGATATTGTGTAGTTATGTTCGAAATCCTCAATTGTTCGACTTCTTGTTCAGTTAACCATGTATTTAATTTGCGGTTCTTAAGTTTTCTTATATACATACATTCTGGAAGAATCATTTATATCACATGCATGTAATTAAGAACGTAAATAATTTTTCACATACTTGGCACCATATTTGAATCCAAATCCGTTAGGTGAAAGAGAACACTCTTCTAGCTAGCGAATAAGGATAACTTCAATTAGATCGTTCCCATGTGACGCTGCCCTTATTAATATTTTTACAGCGACGAAGTTTTGTTTTTCTAGCTTCTCCTCATCTTGACTGACGTATACAAATATTCCATTCGCCAAAAATAGACAAGTAGAGTCAGCTCATATATATCGATCGAAGTCAACTGTCAGGTGTAGAGTAAAAGCATATGCATCACTTTTTAAGTAACGATCAATCGCATTATGTTCGACGGCAACATTATATTCTTTTATAAACATGAACATTATATATGTCCGATAAGAGATAATAAGTCAACACGGTATATGATTCTACAATGAGATAATCGTCAGCACTTGATAAGTCTATATCATTCAGTGCATATTATATCTTGAACATCAAGTATCGTATTCTATCTGCACCATATGCTATCCTAGCTGATGAATTCTAGAATCACATATTTACGTACTCAATTGGACTTTTTTTCGTTTGCCTCATTTACTACTACTCACAAGATGACTTGAGGATTATGTCTAACAACATATACGGGTTGTATTTTAGTAATTTGGAAAAAAATAAGTGGTGATTGGTTTATTAGTGCCAGAACAAAACAATACATAGAACGTAACACAATCATACCTTCATACACTAAAGTTATAGTGTTTTTGCAAAAGAATGATGATGAGTTGAAAGCTAGACTTTACTTGATGAATGAAAGTTTGTTTGGTTACTAGCTAGCATTATATACAAGAGCATTATATTTACATTTATTATAACTATTGTTAATGATAGCTAAACTACATTAGACAAATTATAAAACGTGGAAAAGGTTTACTAGTACTCATGATGATAGTAAATATTAGTATATGTTAGTTCAATATTGTTAATCTACCCTAAAACGAAATGAAGATTCTCACGGAAACAAGAGACTACGCAGCCTGACAAAAGGAGCATATTCCCTTGCATGTTGTTCATGATTGTTATATATTCCAATAAAGTAAATTGCATTTATCAATAATATATATTATAAGTTGGAAATCAGTAGATTAACCTCTAGCTTTTTTAGCATATTTTATTGGATGTAATCTAAAGATGACCTGATCCACTAGAAAAGATATTTAAGCTATCTGTTAAGACATTTTGCAACATTTGTTTTCTTCACTAGCTACATATAAACTATAATTGTTTTGCCTTAACGTTTCTGTGTGCAACAATAAAGAAATCGACAGATACGTACTAAAGTTTTCTAAAAAGAATTATAGTTGTGGGCACGTAAGACTACTATCAAATTTGCATGCGCGTGCTAACGAACATTGAATAAGAAACAGACAAGCTTATCCACAATATCCAAACTAAACGTCGTTTTAGAAAAATCAAAGAATTCTAATGGAAGCTCGTCAAATTATATAAAAAAGATATAAGGTAACGAGGATTTAGATGGTTATTATATGATTGATTAGTTTTGAATTGTGAAACATTAACGTATAGACTGGTGTAGAAATCGTATAAGAAGAAGGATATATTGACAAATTATGAGCTGCCACGCACGATAAAGTATCGACGAAGGGTTTTTAAAATTAAATCTCAGGAGTTAACGATTGATTGAAGATCCAACAATTAGCAAAGGATCAATCAATCATAAATCCAAACAAATTAATCATGTTATGGCAGACACATACATCGTCCATTTCAATACTTTTTGGACCATTTAAACTCGAATAGGAACTCACCACTACAAAAGATCTTGTGACGTACGGCTATGGACACATTAAAAGATTGAATTACTTACCAATCATATCATATAGTTTCAACTTTTGCAACCCCAACATGCTTTTTTTAAGCAAATCTTGTTTCATTTTAAAATTTGTTACGGAACAAAGAAAAAAACAGTGGCATTAAAATACCCAAATATATGATTTGTTCAGTTTAACACATACGGTAACAAAAGCACATATTACAATGTTTTTTTTTTTTAATGTAGACTACGTGTAATTCATTATAAATAGAGAAAGAAAAAAGAAATACGTGGAAACTCTAAACAGCTTTAAGGAAAATAATAAATCTAAATATATATATAAAAAAGAAATAAAAAAAAGCAGCAAATCTTTGGGAACGACCATTTGACAAAAAAACATATCTTTCTTTTCTTTCAGCAAATTCTCACATCTCTCTATTTGTCCTCTCCTCTATAAATATTTGATCTTGAGACCAATCTCTCCCTCATCATTTCCTCATCTCATTCCTTCTCTGATCTCTTCTCTCTTTATTGATTTCGGCCGATACGTTTAGTGTCAAAAGTTTTCATCTTTTTTGTTTTTCTCGCTCTCTCGTTCTCGTAGACAAACACTCTCTATTAGGCAGTGTGCCCAAATTCATCCACTTGCGTGGAAGAGGATAAAGAATCTGAGAGGGATCTTTAAAGATTCTACCTTTGCTTCTTCTTTTTTATACCCGTTCCTATTAATGTTTGGGACTATTGCTTCCTGCGATATCGAAACTGCCAGATTGAGCCGTAATTTGGGGGTTACGTGCAATTTAGGGTTTTCCTGCGGTGGATTTGAAGACTTTGGTATGAGATTCGAAGGGGAAAACATGGTTCCACACAAAGGTGAAGAGGAAGAAGACGGTCGACAAGTGGTGGTCACCGAGACGGCCCCGTTTCAGTTTCATCATCAGCCGTTGCTCCAGCAGCAGCATCAGCAGAGACTCGTTGTTGGGTATGCTCTCACTTCCAAGAAGAAGAAGAGTTTCTTGCAGCCCAAGCTTGAAGTTCTTGCTAGGTATAGGATACACTAACCCAATTTGCTTATTTGATTATCAAGTTTTGATTTTTACATTGCAAAGTTTCCAAATTTGTTGAACAATCTTTTGACGGTGTCATTTTATTGTTTGTTCTTCTTTTGCCTGAGAAGACTGTTCCTTTGTTGGCGTTTAAAGAGAACCGACATGTTCTTTTCTACTTTCAAAAAGATATTTAGGACTTTGACATTTTCTCCTAGATTTGGTTCTTGTTTCCTTGCTCTTGTTTTGGTTCCTATTATTGGTTTTCCTGATTCTATTGCGGAGGACCATTGCCACTTGCCAGTGTCTAGTCATCTGCCATGTTTTTGTCCTCAATCGACTCTTTTGCTTAGCCTTATACTTTCACTAGTATAGTATACTTGTGGCATCAGGAATCTTTTTATAACCCCTTAGTTTCTATGGGAATATTCCTTGTTTAATCCATTTAGATTAGTCTCAGTCTCTGTTGAGGTTTGACTTTGGCTTAAAAATATAAAATACTTGATGTTTTGCCTTTTCTGTGTGGCTTGGAAATCTTCTTCAGCCACATGGGTGTTTTGGCTAAAACAATCACTGGTTCAATTATGTTCTAGAATGTCTTAAATTGGTCAGAGAGAACTTGTCTTAATTGGTTTTTGTTAAGTTTGACGTTTGGTCTCTGCTTTGCTGCTTTCAAAATCAAGCCATAGCTTTCATTCTTTTCTAACTCCTGTATTGTTTAGAAGCAAATGCTAACATTACTACTTTTTGTGTCTGTCTATTTTAGGAGAAAAGGCATTTTCTTTGTCGCCATTGATTTGAATCGGCCTCTTTCTGAACAAGGGCCATTTGATGTTGTTTTGCATAAGGTTTGTGAGAACTAAGAATGATCTGAGCTTTTTTTCTGTGTTTCTGTTGGAAATCTAATAAATTATATGACTGTTCTCCTGCAGTTGCTGGGAAAAGAGTGGCAAGAAGTTATTGAGGTTCGCAAAACTGTCTGCCTTTCTTAAAGTTATTTCCTGAGGTTCTGGCGTGGAAATTGCGACCAATTTGATTTTGAATATCTTAGTTTTTACAATGTAAATGTGTATTCGACTGTTAAACTTAGAGTAGTTTGTAGACTTTATCCATTCAGGAGGAGTATATTATCATCAAATGAAATGTCATGTTCTACAATCTCATGTTTGTCTTGCGTGTGTGTAGGATTACCAGCAAAGCCACCCAGAAGTGACTGTGCTTGACCCACCAGGTTCGATACAGCGTATATATAATCGACAATCGATGCTTCAGGGTATGGCAGATTTGCATCTGTCAGATTCAAGTGGTAACAACCCAATAAGTTATTTTGACACTGTTTTTCAATAACTTTCTTAAATTTCGCTATAAGTGAATTCTACTCTGGTAAATCATTGTAGGCAGCATATTTGTTCCAAAGCAAATGGTTGTCTTGAAAGATTCAGCAGCTAGTGCTGACAAAGTTGTGGAAGCTGGTCTTAAATTTCCACTAGGTAAAATTGAACATATTATCTTACCACTAATTCTTCTTATTATAGATGATGATTAGGACTAGGGGCTGAAATTGGTTAAAACTTGTTTATTCCAACTTTTTCCCAGTTGCAAAGCCGCTCTGGATTGATGGAACTGCGAAGTCACATCAATTGTACTTAGCTTATGACAGGCGCTCACTTGCAGAACTTGATCCGCCTTTAGTCCTTCAAGAGTTTGTAAATCATGGTATTGGGTTTAACTTCAGTATGCAGTTTTCCCATGTATAGATCTTCAAAATTTTCAATGCATCTTTTTGGTGCCTTTAGGTGGAGTTATGTTCAAGGTTTTTGTGGTGGGTGATATTATAAAAGTCATGAGACGGTTTTCTCTACCAAATGTAAGTAATTGTGAAAAAGCCAAAGTTGATGGCGTCTTCCAGTTCCCAAGAGTTTCATCTGCTGCTGCTTCAGCGGATAACGCAGACTTGGACCCTCGTGTTGCTGAACTACCTCCAAAGCCTTTCCTCGAGGCGCTTGTGAAAGAGCTAAGAAGCTTGCTGGTATAACTTTTTCACTGCTTTTCTCCACATTCTCCTTTGTAGGTTCGGTTTTTAAAAATATAATCCCTTACTGCTTATCTGTGATAGGGACTTCGGCTTTTCAACATAGACATGATCAGGGAACATGGGAGCAAAAACACGTTCTATGTTATTGACATTAACTATTTTCCTGGCAAGTTCTTGCCTTTTCTTGAAAGTTTTTGTGTAGTTTTCTCAGAGAAGCAGAGAAATAAAGTTTAGTCTGTTTGAAATGCAAATGCAGGTTACGGAAAGATGCCAGATTACGAGCAAGTATTTGTAGATTTCTTCCAAAATCTGGCGCAAGCAAAACATAAGAAGAGACAACATTGTAAATGAAGATGGAGGCAGTGTTAGATATGTTCTAAGGAACGACAAATAATAATAAAAATGTCTAATTAAGGATTTGTACAGAATTAGCTTTCCCTTTTGGAAGCTGTATCAGATAACAAGTTTTGATTACTGATACTTTGAGTTCTAAATAAATAAATAAAAGCCTTCATAATCAACTTCTGAACTGAAGTTTTCGAAGAATCCAAGTTTTGGAAACAAGCTCTGGTCCTAACAATATCACTTGGAATTAAATCGGATCCAATGTCTGTAGCTCGAAGAGTAGTCGAACTCGGGTTGGGCGAGTTAATTGAAAATGAGTTAACCACCAGCCCACGCTAAATATATTGTAATGTGCATCTTATATGTTTATATACTTAAAATATATGGAGTCAAATTTTTCGCTCATTAACATTAAATAGCGGATTCAAATCTACCAACAAGATACATACTTTTAGACTAAATATGTTTAAATGAAGTATATTTCTTCCAACCAAAAAAAAGAGAGGTATTAAACGTCTAAAAAAAAATTAATGAGGTATTAATATTTTTTTTTAGCAAATCAATAGTTTTTTTATTAAAGAAATAACTGAAGAATTGTAAAAAACTAAAAATATTAATGTTCTTTATTCTCTAATGTTTTTTCAAATCCGACTGTCAGACTTTTCACTTACATCATCGGTGATTCTTCTTTGCTTGAGCTGGATATAGATACACTAGATACTATAAGAGTGTATGAGGAAGTTGCAAACCCTATAACCTATAACCAACAACTGCATGGATGTAATCAACAATAACTACATAGCAGTGCTAGGTGGAGAGGAAAATTGCGTCAAGGTCTAAAGTTAAACACTAAAGAGTTGTTCACGAATATATATCACATTATACATTAAAATCACCAAAATGTTTTACAAAATGGTATGGTGAATAACATCGTCGATCTCAAATAAACAACGTTCGAAATTTGTAATGTATAATTTATCACGTTAAATTCATTGTTAATTCAGTAATTATATAGTTATCCAGATTTCTCAAATATAACATATAAATTAAAGCCTTAACAAAATGGTCATACACAAAAACTACAAAATAGTTTATTATATCGGTTATGAATAGTGTTTTATCTATATTTGTTATTCGTTTAACAGATAACAATGTAATTAAAAAGATTATATAATATATTAATTTCCTACTTATGTGATAATTCATAAAAAGGATGAGAGATAACTAGTATAAAAACTATTTTCATATTCTTAATTTTTCTTTCTTCTATGTATATATATTAATATAACTCCTTTAAATTCACATTTTTAGCGACGTTGGCGACATATGTTATCTGTCCCTTTTTTGCATGATTTGAATATACATATGTGATATTTCAAAAAAATATATACAGTATTGTAATAAAAAAATAAATGCGCCGAAATATTATTACACGCGTGAGGCACATGCTCCACATTTCGCTTTAATTAGAGTTATTTATACATATATCTTAAAAAAAATATAGGATTAAAGAGTGTCTGTTTTTTTACAAAATGTGAACACTTTCCTATCTTATCTAAATATTTATAACTCAACATCAAATTCTAACAATTCAACTTTTATTCATGGTTTACCTATTTCTTTCAGCTGAAAAAAATAATAATTGCCTACTAAACTTCTCCACAGTTGACCAAAACAAAACTGAGTCATCCCATTGACCTATCCGGTTTGTTGTAAACCGACCAATTTTAACTGGTTCGATCAAATTGATTTCTTCGTCTATTTTTTGTTCGGTCGACTGATTTCTTCGTCTCTAAAACGAAATCCCTTAAACCTTATTCCTCACCTCACTTTAGCTTAACTCTCGTCCCAACAATGTCTCTACTCCTGCGAACTTTGCCTCTTCGACCTGCTCGTTTCCTCTCCGCCACCGCCATATCTGCCTCTAACGCCGCCATTTTATACTTCGTACCGAAACGGAGAAACCCATTTCCCGGAACTCGAAGAACCTTCTCCAGTTCCCCTGTTGCGGCTACCTCTGGCGATGTCGTAGTGAAGCCGGTTCCATCTCCTCCGTCGGTTCTCCGGTGGGTATCGCGCACAGGGCTATGCGGCGATTTATCAATCGACGATGTTGGTAAAAGGGTTCACCTTTGCGGGTGGGTCGCCCTTCACAGAGTCCATGGAGGTCTCACTTTCCTTAATCTTAGAGATCATACCGGCATTGTCCAGGTTTAAGCTTTCTCCTATTGTCACCTAAATGTATGCGTAGTTAAGTGTTAAGTGACAGTATATTTGTTGGTAATTTCTATCCGAATCTCTTTCTTTGGCTTGTACGTTGACGTTTCTTCCTAACAATGAACTCATAGTGTTTGGTATTGACTCTGAGTAAATAGAATCAATTAAGGAGTGATCCAATGCTAATTCAAGATTTGACTTGTATTTTTAGCTCTGCTGGTTTGCCGAAATGATTATCCTTGATTCAACTCTCTTTACAACGCAAATATGGATAATTGGGGACTGTATGTTTCGTTTATGATTGAAAGTTTATAATGTTAGGTTACGACAGTTCCGGATGAGTTTCCTGAGGCACATGGCTTGATCAATGACATGAGGCTTGAGTACGTTGTTTTGGTGGAAGGTACTGTTCGTAGCAGGCCAAATGAGTCCATCAACAAGAAAATGAAAACAGGATTCATTGAGGTATGCCTTCTCTTTTCACTCAACTCAGCTACGTTTTATATGTATCCTATGTGTTTTTGTTCTCTCGAAAGTTGATGTGGGTAGTATGTTGCACTAGGTAGTTGCAGAGCATGTTGAAATATTGAATCCTGTGAGGGCAAAGCTTCCCTTTTTAGTTACTACTTCAGACGAGACAAGAGATTCAGTGAAAGAAGAAATTCGCTTAAGGTGAAAAGTTAGCTTGTTGATCTATCTTTTATGATTTTTCAATATTGAATCTCTAAATGCTTACTGATACTTGGTCTTTTGGCTGTTTGATGTTAGATTTCGGTGTCTTGATCTACGCCGTCAGCAAATGAAGAATAATATTGTTCTTCGCCATAACGTGGTGAAGCTGATTAGAAGATATCTCGAAGACAGGCATGGATTTATTGAGGTGTTTCCTTCTCTATTTGAAAAAGGCTCTGTATTTCCTGTTGGTACTTTTTCAGTTTGGGCCTTAACCATTTTTTCCATCTTAATTTGTTTGTTTGTGGCAGATTGAAACCCCAATACTCTCGAGATCTACTCCAGAAGGCGCTCGAGATTATCTGGTCCCCTCTAGAATTCAGGTGCCTTTACTTTTATTTATCCTGGCTCTGTCAGAGAATTAAGCTTTTACATCATAGTTTTTGGTCTGATTCTCTCAAATCTCTCTATCGAAGTCAGGAACATTCTATGCTTTGCCTCAAAGTCCCCAGCTCTTCAAACAAATGTTAATGGTCTCCGGTTTTGACAAATATTACCAGATAGCAAGGTATGTATATGATCTTCGGCACGGGAGCTTTTTTTCTTTTTCGTGTGCAAATTTTTTGGCACTGAAGCTTGCTGTAACATAAGCTTTGCTAACATAAGTAGCCCATCACCTTCATTTACCACCAAAAGCAGGATTCTAATGCAAAGGATTTCTCTCTCATGCGTTTTATTCCATATTATCAGATGTTTTAGAGATGAAGATTTAAGAGCTGACAGGCAGCCTGAATTCACTCAGCTTGATATGGAAATGGCTTTCATGCCTATGGAGGACATGCTGAAGCTGAATGAAGATCTTATCCGTAAGGTTAGGATACTGTTGAGCTTTTTTGTTACTTCGTATCTTCTATGATATCGACACTAGTGGCTCAATTATTGTGAAGAAATACGTGTACAAACTTGTTGGTTCATACTGTTGAGTTTTTTCGTTACTTCGTATCTTCTATGATATTGACACTAGTGGCTCAATTTTTTTAAGAACTACGTGTACGAACTTGTTGCTTCGCTCGTTTTCTCTGTGGATTTCTTCACGTTAATTTAGTTTGATGTTCTTTCAGCAATTTTGACCTTCTTGTGTAGGTCTTTTTAGAGATCAAAGGTATCCAGCTACCTGATCCATTCCCAAGGCTGACATATGCTGATGCAATGGATCGATATGGCTCAGATAGACCAGATATAAGATTTGATCTCGAGTTGAAAGACGTAATATTATCTGCTTCTTGGCTATTTAGTTAATGTTACAAAGAAGTATATATCTGTCTCTTGGCGTGCTTTTGTTTCTTGCAAGAGAATAGTTGCATATGCTAGTTTTTTAAATTTACCAGGAAGTGGGATTTAGAGCTGTTTCCTAATTTTACAGAAACTTACAAGTCAATTTTAAAGTTTAAATCCCAAGATCTGAAATGCAGGTGTCAAAGGTTTTCACAGAATCGTCGTTCAGGGTTTTTACGGAGGCCCTTGAAAGTGGTGGAATCATTAAAATTTTATGTGTACCTTTGGGTGCAAAAAAGTATTCCAACTCAGCTCTCAAAAAAGGAGATATTTACAATGAAGCCATGAAATCCGGAGCAAAGGGTCTGCCTTTCTTGAAGGTCGTGGATAATGGTAAATTGATAAATCATGTTTACTTCTCTTAGACTTGTATTTTTTAATGATAAACATATAATTGTACTTTGTACATTCAGTCTAAAGGTCGAACCTTATGATGCAGGCGAGGTCGAGGGAATTGCAGCATTAGTTTCTAGTTTAGACTCGGTGGGTAAAACAAACTTAGTGAAACAATGTGGAGCAGCACCTGGTGATCTTATATTATTTGGAGTGGGTCCTGTTACATCAGTTAATAAAACCCTAGATAGGTTAAGACTCTTTGTAGCCCATGACATGGATTTGATTGACCATGTAAGTTTCTCCATTACCCTGTCACTTTTTTGTTCCACTTGATAACAGTTCATCAGATTTATGCCAGTTCTTTATTTTATACAGTCCAAGCACTCAATTCTGTGGGTGACTGATTTTCCAATGTTCGAGTGGAATGAGCCAGAGGAGAGGCTTGAGGTCTGTTGTTTCATAATTTGATTTATTGCATGGGATGAGATTAATGTCCAATTATGTTATGTGCTAATATGCAGAGGCCTTTCTCTTTAGGCATTACATCATCCATTCACAGCTCCTAAGCCTGAAGATATGGATGACTTGCCTTCTGCACGAGCTCTCGCGTATGACATGGTCTATAATGGGGTCGAGGTAAACCAGACAGCTTTACCATTTTTCCTCTTGGGAACAATGGCTTGGGAGATCTTTTGATACACTCTATTATTTATACCAGATTGGTGGAGGAAGTTTGAGGATATATAAGCGGGATGTTCAAGAAAAGGTTTTGGAGATCATTGGCATCTCACCTGAAGAGGTGATATTCACTTTCTTTTTATTTGGGAACTATCCATTTTAAAAGGATTACTCGTTTTATTCGGAGTGCCATAACTATCATGAATTTTTCTACAAACAGGCCGAAACAAAGTTTGGCTATCTTTTGGAGGCTCTTGACATGGGTGCTCCTCCCCATGGTATGTAATTATCTCTTAAGGTCAATTAAATCTCAGATTTTAAGAGGAAAAAAAAACACATTTACATGATTTCAACATCCATGTCTAAAAGTCTAGATTGGTTCTGACCGTCTTTATTTGTGTGGGGACGAGTTTCGGTTTAGGATCTTTAAGACTATGTGGCTTCAAAACTTTATTGGAAATTTGTCGATAACTTGATACTCTTGTGATGATGATGAAGCTGAACAAGATTGGTCAAGCATGGTTAATGAAACATTAGAATTGTTATGGAATTGCAGGAGGAATTGCTTATGGACTCGATAGAATGGTGATGATGCTGGGAGGTGCAAGTTCCATTAGAGATGTAATAGCCTTCCCAAAGACAACCACGGCGCAATGTGCCTTGACCAGGACTCCCTCTGAAGTTGATCCAAAGCAGCTCCGAGATCTTTCCATCCGCACCAAATAGTTCTCATTTCTCAACACAAACATAATTGTTGTATCGTAGGTGCTTTGAGAAGATTAACTAGAGCGAGTATGATGGCATGTCTCTTGCCAATGTCCATCTTCTATCTACCCTTTCACATCATTGGTTATTGATTTTAAAGAAATTTGTTATCAATCAATTTACAGAAGTTATAAACTTTCAAAATGAAATAATAAAGGTTGTTATAAAAGTGAAAGTTGCTTCCCACAATAGCCATGTTTAGAGATTATAATTCCAAATGCATCTTTAACTGCAGAAACCCAGATAGTCATGTCTTCTGGGTTTCTGCAGTTAAAATTACAGACATGGTTTATCACAGGGCAACAGACTAATTATATTGATCACATGTCACTTAACTGCTTATTATTGAGCTCTTCTTCTACTGTTAGTGTTCAAGTCAGGTTTCCTGAAGGGCAGTGAAAGCAATCCGTAGCCAAAGTTCCAAATGAATATACAGTTTTGTGAAACTAAGTAACAGAGACAGGCTGATGTTTTGAGCTTTTACAATGGCATAGCTGCAAAGGCATGAAAAAGATTCATTCACATTAACTTATCAATTCTCCATTAGAGCTTCTTTCACTCTGTTCCGATTGCTTCCTCTTCATCTTCTTCATTCCCTTCTATTCTTATATCCGGCAGAGTTTGTGGATCAGTGAGTGCATCCATCTCTTCTTGAGAAATTGATGTTCCGGAAGTATTATCTGCTTCCTCCGTTAGCTCTGTGGCGAATACGTGTGACCTTTCTTTTTCAGCTGATTCATCATCAACCTCAGACCTTGAATCCTCCTTCACCTCGGTCGTGTTTGAGCCTGATATGTTTTCAATCAGAACAGACTCTGAAGTTGAGTTCCTGGACTCATCTTGAATGGAATCTTTGTTGGTAATGTTCGCAGAAACAGTGATATTCGGATCAACTTCATTACGGATTTGCTCAAGTTCCAAGACAGGCTGTGTTTCAGAGAATCCTGCAGGAGGTGCACTATCCTCTTGACTTCGATCTCGCATGATTTCTGTTTCGTTCTGCAAAAAACCTGAAGCTTCAAGAATTGCTTCTGCCGAAGTACCATTAACTGTATCACCTTGTGATTCAGTTACTACGCTTTTTGCTTCAGAACTAGATGGTTCATTGTCACCATCTTTCACTTCTGTGGTTATTTTGTTTACAAAACTGGCGTTTTCTGCTTCTCCTAACTTCAAGTCAGGTTCTATCTGGATCTTAACCTCGCTCATTGCGCCATTACGATTAATCTCTTGAGCTGTTTCATTAGAACTCTCTTTCAATTTATTAGTGTTCAGTATCCGAGACTCATGGGACACCGCACTGGAAGCATCATCAGCCTTGTAATGCTCCTCGCGCGCCTCATCAACGGTCATATCAATCTCATCTGCATGATTAGTCTCTTTCTCTTTCTCATCGCTTTCACTAGTTCCACTCTCTTTCTCTTCTTCAGGTGTTTCATCATCTTTATCAGTTTCTCCACCGGTTTTACTTTGATCTTGTTCATCAATCTCATCTTCCTCATGTTTGTTTTCGTCCTCATCCTCCTCAGCTACTTCCTCTCCTTGCTTATTCTTATCTTCTTCATCCTCCTCAACTACTTCCTCTTCTTCTTCTTTCTCCTCCTCTTCATGATTACCATTCTCTACTTTACTCTTCGTCTCTTCCTTCTCTTCTCCTCCATGGCTAATCTCTTCTTCATCCTCATCATCTTCCACATGCTTCTCCTTCTGGTTATGATAGCCGGGAAGAAGATCTTTTCTTCCAAGCTTCACCACTCCATCATCAACCTCTGACAACAACACAGTCGATTTCTCGCCATCTTTCTCATAAAATTCCTTCTTCTTATCATGAGAATACTTAACTTGATAGATTAACCAAATGCAAACTCCAAGCAGAACACATATCTGCAAAATATGCTTCCCTTTAATACCTTTGCTTCCTCTTTGGCTTCTGCTTGATGCTTTCTTCATCTTCAACAAAACTTCTTCTCAACTGTTATACAAAAACCATAACTCAATCTCTAACCTGTGACAACTATTACAGAATAAGACAATCAATCACCTAAAGACCAAATTTTTGGAGTTCATTAAAACCAAAAAGAACAATAGAAGATGTGACATGCAAAAGCGAAAAATAAAAATATATCAAATAAGTTACAAGTTACAACCAAGATGCTGCAAGCAAGTGTACAGAGTAAGACCAAACTACAAAGATAGAAACCCAAATCAGAAAACAGAGACAGAGAACCTAAAAGCCCCAAATCTTGTAGACAAATTCAACGAAGAACAAGTAATGGACCATGGGAAAAAAGGAACAAACCCACGAAAGCTTCGATTCAAACAGCTAAAGGAGTCAAATCAAGAAACTAATTCTTGAAAATAGAAAGAGTTTACAGCCAGAATCAAGAACATCCACAAAAGAGAATGCTAAAAAGGATAAAGAGATGAGCAACAGTAGAGCCAAGAATCAGATTCGGAGACAACTGAAAAGAAAACAAAGTTGGAGTTTTGTGAAGAAGAAGAGAGTTTACCTTTTAAAGAGTTTGAGAGAGTTATCTAAGAGATGAAGAAGAAGACAGAGAAGCTTTCGAGCTTGGAGTTTATAGTTAAAGCAAAAAGGAGAGACTTTGAACAAGGAAAGAAAGAGTGTGAAAGGACAGAGGTAAGGCCCAGACAACGCAAAGATGGTGAACCGATGACTATTGTCTCTACTCCATTATTCTTTTAAATTATTATTTTTGCTGAATAATAGTTCTCTATTAATTTCAATTATTGCTAAATTTGTTTATATATGGAATATTAGAGGCAATTATTAAATGAGCTACAAATTGTTCAATTTCAGAACTTGTAAAACTACGAAAATGAGAAAATATAAAATAAATCATCATAATCAATTTGTTAGAAAAAAAAAATGAAACAATCTCTTTATGGTTGAAACAACACCTCCTAACCCCATGTCTTGAAGAAAAAACAAATAACAAATGTGTAATTTAAAACTCTTTTATTTAGGTAACCTAATTAGTAATTAATAGTAATGTATGAGTCATTCTTGAAGTGGTCAAAGTGGTGGACTAGAGAAGAGGACACGACCTTAAGAAATAGAATTGTTGAGAGAGGAAGTACATACATCTGATATGTGAGCGAGCTCTTCTTCTTCTTCTTCTTTTTTCTGTCAACATGTTCTTTTTTAAATCAGCAGGTCTTAATTATAGACCAAAGTATTCAGACTTGGTAACTATTAATTAATATCTATTGGATTGAATATTGTTTAAATTTAAAATCAAACACTAGATAGACTCCCTCCTCTGTTATCCACGACTACAAGTTTGCCTTGGAACTTTATAAAAGGACTTTTCTCTCTTTAGAAAATAATTGATCTACTTCAAAGTTCAAACCATATTTGTATAGCCATTAGTAGTAATTATTATGTTATTAGTTATTACTAGCAGATGTAAAACAATATAGTAGTATAGTATGTTGTTGTTGGTTTTTATTTGCGAATATGCACCAATAAAACCATATTGACAATTGTTAGGTAGCAGGTATGCTTTAAAGAGGTAGGTCCTGCACGGTCTAAAACACTGAAACTTTCTAAATGGCATATAGTAACATATATTAACATGGTTATTCCCAACATGAAGGGTTTCTAATTTCAAAATTGAGGTAAGTTATATATTCGATGAAAAATTTGCTGTATTGTACTATTTTGTAAGAAGCTAACTTTTTATTTAAAATTCTTAAGTAAAGTAAATCTAGAGAAATTAAAGAACATACAATGAGGATGATGAGATATAATATTTCAAACATGTATTTATATCCCTCTTTAGAGCTTAACCACGGCAAACTCATAGGATTATGGAAAGTCTTTTTTTTTCGTATCACTCAAAAATGAAAGTCGTTTTAACATTTTTGTAATTACATGTAGACAACTTTTCATGTCCTGAATTCTCAAAATAAACAAAAAGGTAATTAATACAACAATCTTTACACACAATCAACGATTGAATTTGTAATCAATATGGTTTAGCTCCAATAAAATTGCCTGCAGGGTCATAGTTACACACAACAATACTTGCACCGTTACTACATTTAGCCTTACCACAACCGAGCCGAGCTGAGCCACGCCACACAACCTGAGTGTAGTGTCCACAAGCCGGACCGTGGCATGAGTTTGAGTAAAAATCATAATACGACTTCTCATCTACCCACATCGCGACAGCCTGAGCCGCCGACATGTCTCCACTGCCATATGCAAGATTCTCACCATATGGTCCAGAGGAATGTTCGAGACTACAAGGACCGGCAGCTAGTTGGTTTGCGTAGTCCTGAGCCACAGTGGCTATACCAAAGTCCCATCTCAGGGGCTTGACTCTGACCGCCGCTCGGGCTGCGTTATGGGGTCTGAGGTAGCTGTCAGGAGAGTCATGGGACTGCTGCGGGTACTCAGAGTATTGTGCTAAAGAAACATCGATTTGGGTCAAGTAGTTGATGAGAAGTACAAGAATCAAAGTTTCAATAGCAACCTTCTGAAACATTTTTATGACTTTTCTTTTGTCTTCTAAAATGTATGGAACAAAAATAGTAATGAGATGAATCTCTAGTGTATTTGACGGCTACTCACAGAAAGTTATATATAATGTACATAAATTATAATTTATGGCCTAGTTGGTGTCACGTTCTGAAGTAAATCCGATTAGAAACTATATTTAAAGATTAAATGCTTCTAAACATTGATTCGAAAGATGTACGCACGTTATTAGGGTTGTAGGTATGCAAAAAAAAAAAAATGGCATTTTGTTGAGCTGCCTGATAGTGAATTAGTGATAAAATCATAAAAGTATATATATTGGTCGGCTAAAGGGTGGTGGAATAAGATCTTTAAAATTATTGGTTTCGGCTATGGATCAGATATAATTATTTCTAAAATTTTGACTTGTGTTTTTTCTTCTTTCAATCGGTCAATAAAGAAATGTAATGAAGTTAACAAATTCATCGCTTCTTGGATAGCTATGAAATAATATGGTTGGTTCAATCGTTTACTACATACTATTTATTACTATTTAGATGGTAGCGGAGCAGAGCTGATCAACCCTTCAGGCCTAGACCCTAGCGCATATAGCACTTAAGTCATGGTAAGGAAAAAAATTTCATGCATGATAGATAAAAAAAATTACAGAAGAGGATATATATTCGCGAATATATAATTTAATTTCGTCTCCGTGATGTACATATATATGTATCTGTTGAACTATAATATAAATTAAAAATCCAACACATAAAGAGATGGTTTAATATATATATATCTAAAGTTTTCATGGTAAATCTTAAAAGATGCGATAATAGCTTCTGATTCCGATAGGTTTAAAAAGTTGACTTCGTTATTCATCTATAGCCAAAGTATATAATATATGTCCAAACCAAAATTATGGTTGGTGAAAAATCATTTTCAAAAAGATTAGCTCACGGATTAAAAACCCTTGGCATATTCCTCTATATTCAATCACAAATGTGTTGAGTAAACTTACAGCAGTCAACGTTTAGTGCGCAGCCTCCTTGCCAAAGCAGCCGGATGATCTATGCACTTTCAAACGATGTCGATGTGGAAATCTTATATCATTACAGCAAATTTAAGTCTTGCCGTGTAATTTAATGTTGTTTACAATTCACATAATTCCTCAGTAACTTATCTTCCGAATATAAAGTCACCATATCTAAATAAATACTATACAATAAAATCGAAGAGACTAAAAGGGGGTGGTAACAGTAACATACAATCTATGTATTTTGCTAACAATGAATCTAAGTTTCTAGGATGAATTAAACGAATCAGCTTCATGTTCGACCTTATATCGAGATAAAAAGCAAGGGATTCGATTAATATTTTAGTTAAATAACATATCAGTTTTTTTCCTGATCGTGAGCTTACGTTGTGATATAAATTTTATTATGTGTGTAATGTGTTGTGTATATACATAGAAAGTGAGAGGAGATTTTCATATATATATAGCAAACAAATTAAAGCAAGTGCACAAGCCGTAGGACTGCATTGTTTTATTAGATTACAAAAATCCACGTATACATATGGTACAAAGAGGACCGGACCGGACCGGACAAACCAATCTTTATTAGCTGACGATCGATGATTGGTAAAACTGAACAGCAAGGAAATATAATACATACATGTATATAAATAACGTAAACATTGAAATGGAGTGTTTTTATTTTTTAGAAAGGCCACTCGCCAACCCAGTTACCGGGAGGATCGTAGTTGCAAGTGATGAAGGTTTGACCATTCTTGCATCTCACTTTCGCACACCCTAACTTCTCCGTGTTTCTCCACACAACCTGAGTATAGTGGCCACACTGTTTGTCCCAAGCACATGTGTTGGAATCATAGTCGTAGTCAGATTGTTCCCCCACCCACATGTCAACCGCTGCAACGCCTGTCATGCTACCGCTGCTCCATGCGATGTTCTCTCCATAAGGCCCGCTCGAGTGTTTCATAACGCAGTCACCTTTACGCTCGTTCGCATAGTTACGGGCGTAAGCTGCCACCTCTTCGTCCCATCTTAGGGGACCAACCCCAACCTCGGCTCTTGCCCGGTTGTGAGCTTCCAAAAAGTCTCGAGGTCTGTCTTGGGCTTTTAGATGAACGACGAGAACAAGGAAAAAAGTTATGGCCAAGAATAGGTTTTGAGATGAGTTTAAGACTTTCATCTTTTTTTTGTTCTTTCGTTTTTTGAGGCTTTTTGAGTTTTTGTGGGTATTTGAGGTGAAGAATCAATACTTTATATAGTAGTTTTGTACGAATACTTGTTGAACGTTTTATAATTTCGAAACAAGCACTTGTCATTTTTTATAATGTTAATTTGTTTACGATGAAAATACAATATATTTTTTTACAAATTAGTAGTTAGAAACGTATGCTTCTATTTAATAAACAGTAGGCCAATTGTTTAACTGTGTAATTATTTCGTAGCTACGTACGCCATATTCATTGACGTGATCATTAATTAGTGAGTATCAATTCTTATATGCGAGGATTTGCATTCTAAGTTTAGATGGTTAACTACCACTATTTGGCTACGTACGTATGATTAATTAGTATAAAATATAGATTAATTATGTATTGTCTTAGAGACGAAAAAAAAGAGTATGTCTTAGAGTTTCGAATCCCAGACATGTACGTTTTAGTTGTAGTCTTGTAGATAGAGTTATTTGACATGCTACTATGCTGGTGTTTGTCATGGATTGGATCATCCATACATAGAAAGTTATAAATTTGATCCGTCAGGTGTTGTCTCTGTAAATTGTCATGTTTATATATAAAAGATGTTAATGGTGAAATGAGTGATTATTTTGAAGATGTGGATATAACGCGAAATTAATAAACTAGGTTAGGAACTTAGGACGACGACAAAAAAAATCGAGGAAAAAAATTGAAACGATATCATTCGATTTTTTAGTTATACCTAGCTTGGAGATAAAGTTTTGGAAGATGCATGTAGTTGTTGGAGTTTCACATCTCTAACTTTTATTTCTTAATTTCTATCGACCTAGGATGCATATATGGCTAAACAATCTATATAATATATAGTCATCACGAATTTTTTAATCTAGTTTGTGATGGCTGTTCATTAAAATCTTTTTTTCTATTTGCAAGATGGCCATTTAATATCAACGATATGCACACAATCTACTATTCCTTTTATAATCTTAGTTAATATATTGGACGACTTCAAAGAGATTCGATACTAACTAGTAACTACATACGTATGTCTTTTTTTTTTTTTTTGTAAAAAACAGTGTCATAGATTTCACTTCTTCTATATAATTTCAATTTATAAGTTTTGATTGAAATTACCGGACGTGGTTTTAGGTTTTTTTTTTTTTTTTTTTAATTAATGTCTCAAACTCAATTAGTAGTGAGAGGAAAATCTATCAAATTATTGTACTTTTTTCTATTTATTATTGGACTTGATGTTATCATCTCCCCATGCACTTTGGGTTACAGTTAGTCATTCACTCATTCTGGAAGCAAAAGAGATGTTAAATTGTTGAAAACAAAAGTTGTTGAATATAAACAAAATAAACAAAAGTAAAAGTGTGGACACGTTGTGTTAATTACTTGTGTGGATAAACCTAGACGCATAAACTTTCAATTTTTTTTAAAACGATACTCCACAACGTTAAGAGAAGTAACTATCGTTTATTGGGTTATGAGTAATCAATCATAAGGAATAAAGTCGCTCAAATTGATAATAGATTTCGAAAAACAATTGTCAAAATGTTTCTGAACTTTATTTAGCCATTAAAAACAATCTTTTCCAACATTTATAAGCATAGCATTAACATACAAATATATTACACGAAAATTAGATACGATCGAACCCTAAACATGACAATATGGAAAACCACAATTTAATAATTAAGGTCCTGGGTCGAAGAATTCGTTATGAGATTATAATTAAGATATCGATAACAATTGTATTTTTTTACAGCATTTTCAACATCACGGTTAGCCACAACTGATGACTTAAAAAGTCTTAAATAGCAAAAAAAATCTCAGTTATAATAATATTGGTTATATAAAATATGGCCCCAAGCTGCTAGTCCGCTACCCCATAGAAGGATCAAGAACTCACGTTGTGACATACTTTAGCGACAGCACGAATTTTAAGCACCAGAAAACGTATTATTTCGTCACAACATATCATACAAACCATATATATATACACAGAAAGGAATCACCATATCCTGTGATGATGATCATTTATTGAAATTACAGAAACGCACGTCCACTATGGACAAGTACTTACATGTATTCATCTGCGATACATATACTTAATTAATAAGGCCAACGGCCCCTAATATTACCAGGACGAAAGTAGTTGCAAGTCACAAAGGTTCCACCATTGTCACACTTGACTTTGGCACACCCAACATACTCCGTGTTTCTCCACACAACTTGAGTATAATGTCCACACTGTTTTCCAGCACGACACGTGTTCGAACTGTAGAAGTAGTCAGGCTTCTCGTCGACCCACAATCTCACTGCGGCAGCTCCGGACATATCACCACTGCTCCATGCCAAGTTTTCACCGTAACGCCCGCCTGAGTCTGAGTGAACAAGACGACAGTCACCACGCCTTTTCTGAGCATATCGTCGGGCGTATTCCGCCACATCCGCATGCCATTTTATATGACGCACACCAACGTTGTCTCGAGCACGGTTGTGCACATCGAGGTAGTCTTGTGGCCGGTCTTGGGCTTTCATAGGAACTGCTGCAAAAGCTAGGACAAGAGCTACCACCACGAGTATTAGGGTTTGGGAAGAGTTAACCATCTTCATTTATTTTTCTTAGTTTCTCTATGAGTTTTTTTTTACTTTGTGTTGTGTATGATGGGTTCGAGACGTGGATTTATATAGAGTTTACGTTGTCAAATAAGTATTTTATTACGTACAAGTAATAACAGTTGCGATATATTTTTTTACCAACGTTAACGTACGAGCTAGTACTTGTAGCAATTGTTTTTTTTTTTATATATAAAAATCTCTTTTACCAAGTCAATTAGGCGAAGAGGTCAGCTGATAACCTTCAAATTGCCCCTTTGTAAATAAATTAAAAACAATGATTTTGACTGAAACAATTTTTTACAGTATAAAAATGAAAGACAATTTCTTCAAATCTTTCCATATACGTTTGTAGGCTTTTAGTTTATTATTATTCAGGAGAAAATTTGAAGAAGAAAAAAAAAACAAATCATTAGAATATACAATTCCGTTCCACATATTAACCTCTAAATAATATATATGTTTTATGATAGTTGATTGCTATGACTTTTACTAGGTCAGGTGAATGCATGGCGATGATATATTATGCCTTATTATATAAAATGGCATTTCATCGTGAAACTGGTGGTTCTTATCATGTGACCTGATGATCATATAGGATTTGATCGATTATCTTCTTTTTTAGAATCAAACCATTTGCCATTGTTTAGATTGGTCATATAGACATCAATGATGAGTAAGTATCTCTTCAAACAAAAATACATAATCTTTGATTCATCGTGCGCTGTATTCAAACTTTTAAACTCTATATATATATATATATCTGTAATTGTTAAGAGTACATCAAATACTAAAGATTACATCTCTATGAAACAAGGAAAAAAAATACTTTTATATACTTCCGAAAAACAAATTACAAAAAAAAACCGAATAATGGTTATATCATCGTACTACATAGAATCAAAATGGATGTGATTCATCGTACAAAATATATGGAATCCGATCTTGTCCAACATATCCCTATATTAGTAAAAGAGAAGTACAAAAAATGTTTCCGGATCGGGTCAATTTCAAAAAGTTACCCGAAATTTGTAATTGGATAGATTAATGGGTTTGGATACATACACCGGATACTTTCCAAATCTAATTTTAGGATTGTATTATTTCCATAACTAATTATAGAATTTACTAATATTTCTCTAAGTAATTAAATACAATCTATTTAAAAAATATTATTCTTCTTTCACTTTTATTTGATATTATTTTTAATTTATGATATTATACTATATAGTATACATATTTAATAAAATTTAACTTTTTTTTGCATATGTTTCAATTTGAATTTTTCAAAACAGACATATAATACTCAACTACACTCGGTTAAAATCATTATAAATATGACCAATATTAAATCATTGTTACATGAGCATATTTAAAATTTCAAATAGTTTCAAAATATTATAAATAAAAGGTTCAAATACATAAAACTTTTAGAATTTAAAATATGGAAATATTTTTTTGAAGACATAAATGTAATTTTCGAGATATAATTTTTATTGATAAAATATATTATATATCAAACTATGTTACGGGTTGGAATATAATGATAAAGCGAGTTACGAATAATGTTTTTTTACAAAATGAATTCTGTTACGAGTTGGACTTTCAAAAAATATATTGTAATATGTAATTTTACGTATATTCCTATTTTTACTAAAAAAATGGTCAAAATGAATAATTTATCGACAAATATTATTTCGTGCTGTTAAATTTTCACCGTGTTTTTAATTGTATAAAAACTCAGTATATGATTATTTACTCGCTCTTTCCTTTATTATTTTATTTAAACTTATTATACAAATATACGATTTACCGTAATCGACTGCACTCTAACAAAATTAAAATATAACATATTACAATCCGTTAAAATTATATATATGTAATTATTTCCTCCGCGATGTAGCGCGGGTCCGAACCTATTAGCTAGGTATAATCATATAAATACCGGATCTGGATCTAAGTATATCAGTTTTTGATAACACATTGTTATTTTGTTTTGTTCTGTACTCTAAAGATTATTCTAGTTTACTTAACATTTTACCAAAAAAAAAAGATTCTTGTAGTTTCTACAATATCAATGCTTTTAGCTAATGTTTTTTTTTTTTTGCGGATTCTGGAACCATATTGTTAGACACACGTACATATATTATAATATTTTTTTTTTTTTGGTACATAGTGGAGTTTTCACATACCCTGACGACGAGAAAGTGGACGTGAGATCGCTAAAAGAAATGCAAGGCCCACGAGTCTTAAAAACAAACGAAATGATTTTGCCGACCTAAAAAGTAACTCATAATGAAAGCTTTCTCTTCTTCATATAGTATGCACGTAACTACCAAAATATAGGGTGTGGAAAAAGATAAAATAGTTTTCTTGGTAATATATACTTTTTGATAATGATAATACATAAATACTGTGAAAAGGACACTACATCAGCCATTCATTCTAAGAAAAAAAAACAATAATAATAACAAATGTTACTAATATATACTCCATTACATATATAAAAGGAAGCTACTACTAGAAAACAGTTTCAGTTTTGACGACGACACACAAAAAGTGTTCTGGCGAAGATCCGTATCGGATCGAAATCATCTACGTAGCGGGAAACCACCCAGCTACTTAATTTTGCTGCGTCAGCATCAAAACAGTAATAAAAGAGACACGAAGCTTAAATTACATAAACACCCTTGCTCATCTAATAGTGCACCGGGTAACACATACGGGTTACTATTGTCATTTATGCATCTAATTGCCACGCCCTGTGTATATATCACCAGTGGGAATCTCCACCGCACGAGCTTCTGCTGTGTTTTCTTTTATCATCTCCGTAATTGCTTTGATTTCTCTGCCAACTTATATTGAAATACTCACAAAAGATTTTTTTTTTTTTTTTTGTTTCTCTTTCTTTTATCAGAAGAGATATTTTTCTGAAGCTTCAACTTTTATAGTCTCTTCTCTTTTGTGGTTAAAACTGATTACTAACTGAGACCGAGACGGTTCGTATTCTGTTTTTTTGAAGAAGAAAGTTTTTTTTTAATAATTGGAGCTGGAGAGAAGATGTCAAGTCTGTGAGTGAGCCTAGCCTAGGGGGTTTAAGTGTTTTTTCTGATTTCTTGAGCTTTTGGGTATTCTTAAATTGGAGATTTTTTGATGGGGATGGAGTCTCAATGTTGCGACCCAGACTTCTTTATGCGTGTAGCTGTGATTGCGTTTCTTGTCTTGTTCGCTGGACTCATGTCTGGTTTAACACTGGGTCTTATGTCTATGAGTCTCGTTGATCTTGAAGTTCTTGCTAAATCCGGTACACCCCAATATCGCAAATATGCTGGTAAAACACTTTTGTTCCCTCTTTTTGCTCCACTCTCTTTTCAAGTTTTCTTTCTACCGTTTTGTTGTTTCTCTCCCTAATTGCAAATTACACGTGTGTAATTAGAAGTGGCGAGGATCTTTTTTATTTATTTGCGATGTTCATATTCGAATTTGTTTATTAGTTATAGTTAGTTCATCGATTGGGCGTTTTGATTAACTTCCCAGAAGCATCTGTGTTTCAATTTAGGTAGAGTTTGGTTTCTGTAATATTCAGTTGCTGCGTGTGAATTCATTATACTGGTGAGTGCTGAAGATTTTGGTCTTATCCTAACTTTACTAATCAAGACTAGAATACCCTTTTTATCAGTTTTTTTTGTACAGAATCTCCAAACTTGATGAATTAATAGCTGTTTGTTATGTTATCGATGATTCAATTGTTTTTGTTGTGAGCAGTCTGCTTTGTTCCAGTGATTGCATTATCAAATTTGATCGAATTTCATGTCTTTTTAGGCTCTGTCTCTCTCTGTTAATGATGACCAGAGTTGTTTTTTTTTTTTTTTTTTTGTTTTCTGCAGCAAAGATATTGCCAGTGGTAAAGAATCAGCATCTATTGCTTGTCACTTTACTCATATGCAACGCAGCTGCTATGGAGGTAATGATTAAACTTCTCCCTTAGCCACTGTGATTCGTAGGTTTTGAGAATGTTGTTTGATATTAGTAATGATTTATCTTTTCAGACGCTTCCCATTTTTCTTGATGCTCTTGTGCCGGCATGGGGTGCCATTTTGATTTCAGTTACATTGATTCTTCTCTTTGGTGAGGTAAGATTAGCCTTTCCTGTTATATCCATTAGGGGAAAACAGTCTCTGAGCATTTTTAATCACTTTCATGTACATATCTGATTGTTGGCTTTGCTGCAATTGCAGATTATACCACAGTCAATCTGTTCACGTTATGGTTTAGCGATTGGTGCTACAGTGGCTCCGTTTGTCCGTGTCCTAGTCTTTGTTTGCTTACCAGTTGCATGGCCAATTAGCAAGGTAAGAACACTTGACCAATCTCTGCTGGAGTCAATGCCCCAAACCATCATGCTCTTTGTTTTAAAAAGTTTTGTTTCTCTTTCATTTATCCAGCTGCTGGACTTTCTATTGGGTCATCGTCGTGCAGCACTCTTTCGAAGAGCTGAGCTGAAAACACTTGTGGATTTTCATGGAAATGAGGTATGCATTGATCCCATCTTCAAGATTGAAAAGTTTTCCGCATTCCTTGTATCTATGTCATGTTGTTTAGTATTTTGTTTCTTTCAGGCTGGAAAGGGTGGAGAGCTGACTCATGATGAAACGACAATCATTGCAGGAGCTCTTGAACTGTCTGAGAAAATGGTCAAAGATGCAATGACACCAATATCTGATATCTTTGTGATTGATATCAATGCCAAACTAGACAGGTTTTGTTTTGTGATTTTTCTGAGAACCATCATATTAGAAGCACACTTGCCTAGAGTCTGTATTCTTCTTATTTCTAATTTTGTTTATTTTACTTCTTTGCTCTTTTGGTATAGAGATTTGATGAACTTGATTCTTGAGAAAGGGCATAGCAGAGTTCCAGTATACTATGAGCAACCAACTAACATCATCGGTCTTGTTCTGGTAACTCCCAGTCTCAGGCATTACTTCCACAATTTGACTCGGTTCTCGCTAAAGTCATGTTCACCAATAAGACGGATTCCAGATGACTATTCTGTTTGCAGTTCTAACCATTCATAACTAATATCGTCAGGTAAAGAACTTATTGACTATCAACCCAGATGAAGAAATACCTGTCAAGAATGTCACAATAAGACGGATTCCAAGGTGAAATTTCCGATTCTTAGCAATTTAAACCCGCTGAACGTGCTTCAAAAGCTGATTTCTTACTTTGTTTTAGAGTTCCAGAAATCTTGCCTTTATATGATATATTGAACGAATTCCAGAAAGGACTCAGCCACATGGCTGTTGTTGTGAGACAGTGCGACAAGATTCACCCATTACCTTCTAAAAATGGTAAACTGTTTCATTAGTCGACAAAACATTGCCTTGCTGAGTTTCAAGTTTTGAGCATCTTTGATTTGGGCTTTTAATAGGGAGTGTTAAGGAAGTCCGAGTGGATTTGGATAGTGAGGGAACTCCTACACCTCAGGAGAGAATGTTAAGGACAAAAAGATCGCTTCAAAAGTGGAAGAGCTTTCCTAATCGAGCAAGTTCGTTTAAAGGAGGGTCAAAGACCAAGAAATGGTCAAAAGACAATGATGCCGACATCCTGCAGTTGAATGGAAATCCGCTGCCTAAACTTGCTGAGGAAGAAGAAGCTGTCGGAATCATTACAATGGAGGATGTCATTGAAGAACTTCTGCAGGTTAGGAATCTTATATATAAGTTAGCTACCAAAAAATCATGTTTTACTGACTATTTATTCTTGGGCATGTGGTTGCAGGAAGAGATCTTTGACGAAACTGATCACCATTTTGAAGACTCCTGACACAGACACATTTGATGACCACTGAACTGGTTATGAATGTCGAAAACTTTAGTCTTTGTTTTCAACTTTCATACTTCCACTTGTCCGGCCAATGTGTATCATCAATATAGGCATGAACATCATCTTTGTCTATGGTTTCAAGATGATTTTTTCTTGCTATATATCATTAGTCTGTAAGAGATTTTAATTTTACTCTCCTTGCTTCAGTGGACCTTTACCAAATCCAAACCCCCTGGCTGCACCGAGAGTTGTCTCTGCTTACGACTTCGTACAAATTCTGACCTACTACGTTGGTTCATTCTCTGCCAGAGACCAACGTTGAACTGGTTGATCTCTTTTCTATGTTATTAAAGAACACATCTGTCTTCAACTTTTATCTTTATTTCCAACTTTCAAACTTTGTTACTTATGTACCAGAAAAGGCATGAATGGGAACTTCTTATATGGTTTCGAGACGTAATCGTTAATACTAGAATTAATAATATATGATCATATTAGTAAACACAACATCATTGCCGGTGTAAAGGCATTTTTTGTCTGGAAAAGATCTAGTCCCTACAATATTTCCTCTTCTTCCTATCCCTTTTCTTCTCTTTTGACTTGTGTTTCTTCTTATGCTCCTTTCTTTTCCTGTGAGCACGTTCGTGAACCTCCTCCTCAGAAGAATCCGTTCGGCATTTCAATAAAGGCGATCGCTCTGGCTTAGGTACTAGCTTCCGATCTCCTGTATCAGAAGTTCTTGAAAATTCTGCGACAGGAAGACAAGGGAATGTTTCATCCATCCTAGGACCAACAATGCCTCTGCCACGATTGACCCTATCATAAATGATAAACCAGAATCACAAGTTTTATGAACAAAAGCCGATCGCAGTTGGTTTCATAATAGTAAAGGATATAATGAGGCAGCATATACTATCTAGATTGAGTTAAAAGGAAATACCTTGACTGGCGAAAATTCTCACCGTTGACATCTCCTAAGCCTTCATCATTATCATTTTCCGATTGCCATCGTTTGTTTCTGTTCTGGCTTGATGGTGATGTCGATAAACTAGAAGTAACATTCTCATCAAGTGAAGTGCATCTCTTAACAAAACCTCTCCTATTGTTGTGCTCACTTTGACCACTGCTGCTCTCCTCTCTAGATTTTCGTTTGAGCCTCTCATCAAACTCAATCTCTTTACTCCGAAGATTCCACATCTCATTGGTTTCTAAAGCTTTGTTTGCTGTATGGCACAAAGAATACACAATTTTAGATCATAACGTACCACTGGAATCTCAAAACACATGTTTGAATATCAGAATACAAAGTTAAAGCTGCAGGCTAAACATCATAAACGATAAGGAAGCTCAACCCCAAGTAAGAATCTAAGCCTAAGAACTAGATTTGATTCCAAAAGAAGGCCAGGTCTAGGAGGAACAAAGATAATACCTTGCTGAACACCAAGAACAGTAGCGGTGAGAAATCTAGAGTTAGGTCGATGCCTTACATTAGGCTTCTCAAGATATGCTCGAACTCCATCTTTCTCAGCTTGTCTCCTCAATTCTGCTGCTTCTCTTAAGAGAATCGAAGCTATTCGATTTTCAGTTTCCAGATCCATCTAATTCCACGGTAAACCAAAAACAACAAAAAAGTATAAACCTTCAAAAAATCTCCAAATCAAAATCAATCTGGGCAGATCAAAAGATGGAACCGATATAACTTGATAGAATATCATAATTCCACAACTAAAAATACATTCGATAACCAAAAAGCTATCTTCTAAATCATTGCCTCCCAAACATAGAACTTCCACTAAATCAACGTTCTTTCAAGAACCCAATTGCTCGAGAAATGTGATCAAAGAGGAGATTAATTACCTAGAAATCGAATTTACTCAGATATCAAATAGCTGCTTCACGGAATCCTGCAATTCCTCGGCGTTTTCCCACAGACGCAGCAAAGTCGTCGTCCGAGCCAGATCAAATAAATTGAATCCCGAGGAATTTCATAGTAAACCGAACCGGGGAAAACCGGGTTGATTTGCTCTAGGACCAAACCGAAGAAGAACCCTAGTTTTACTTTTATCATCATCAGTAGACAGTCTCACCCACTCTCTCATGATTAAAACCCAAACAAAACACGTTTAGTTGACTCATTTGCTGCAATTTCTCCTGTGGAATCCTTGTGAGAAGCGGGAAAATGTCGTCGACCCAGCAGCTAGTTTCTTCGATGATCTCTTCTTCCTCATCCACTTTCTTAGCTCCTTCAAATTTTAGTCTCAGGTGCGTCTCGTTTTTTTTCTTCTCTTTACTCTCTGTTTATTGCTAATAGAAGGAATCTAGGAGTATGAAGACAAACTTTTTAGAAACTAATCGTTAGAAAGTAATCGTAGTTTCGTCTTTCACTCCTGCCGTATGGTTGCTTATCTTTTAAATTTTAGTCTTTTGGTTTTGCTAAATTGAAATAGTGCGAAAGTGAGTTTTTTTTTTTAAGCCATTGTTGGATGCTGTCGTTTGGAAAGACGACAGTGCATTTGCTTATGATGACAACACTATGATCATTGATATTGTGTGTTTTATCCATCTTCACAGTTTGGTTTATGCTTTGTGATCTTTCTTTTGCTTTCTCAGAACTCGAAATGCTTACTTACCCATGGCAAAACCGGTCAATACGTGCAAATGCGTTGCAACCCCGCAAGAAAAGATTGGTAATTCTTCGCGTTCCTGCTCTTTGAAACCATACTCTATGTTGCTTTTGCTGTAATGATTAGTAGGATAGTTAGTTTGTTAGTGATTTTTATCCTCTTTTTAGCTGTTCATCTGTTTCTCACAAATTTATCTCTTACATGTTTTGGTCTTTTTTATGTATGTAGAATATAAGACGAACGTGTCGCGGAATTCAAACATGTCCAAACTTCAGGCTGGATACTTATTCCCGGAGGTTTGTTACCTGTTACTGTCTTGGTAATACTATATAAGATTTGAAATATTTTCTACTGGGAATTTCTTAAGGAGTAGCCTTTACTCCATAGTAAATTTTAATCCATCAAACATAAGCATTGCTCCCTCTCTCAACAGAGAAAATTTTGGTACAAAGTTATCATCTTTTGAAAGCTTGCAGTGATCTGATATATGAATAAGCCATACCCATTGGATTACCTGTGTAGTAAGTTTAATATATCCTCATTGAATATGATGCTCCTCTTTTTGGAAAATGCAAACAGATTGCAAGGAGAAGGTCTGCACACTTGCTGAAATATCCAGATGCACAAATTATAAGTCTTGGAATAGGCGACACAACTGAGCCAATTCCAGAAGTCATCACTTCTGCAATAGCAAAGGTACCTCCTTATCTTAACATATTTTAAGTTGATTTAACTGTACTCCTAGTATGCATTATGGTTCATTTTGACCAAAAAGTACATTTTCATAATTTTCTGTTTGCCATATTTGGATTAGCCATAGAGAAATGATCCTGCGCTGAAAACTCTTAACAAAAATTGTTCTGGTAGGATAGTTTTTTAAAATTATAGTACTCAACCATGTAATTTCTAAAGAATAATTATGTTTTCTTCTATGGCAGAAAGCTCATGAGTTGTCCACAATAGAGGGATACAGTGGTTATGGTGCTGAACAAGGTGCAAAGGTCAGTGCACGTTTCATCCTTGTTGGTTGGTTCATTATGATATGCTTTTGCACGTCATTTTAATTTTATTTTTGATAGTCTTGAACTGCTACTGAATTCAAGAGATGGATTTAAACCTGTTTCATGTCTGAAAAATTCTTATAGATTCATTTGTTAAGCTGAAATGATTTATCTAAACTAAACCGTGCTTTCACACATTTGAACAGCCACTTAGAGCTGCTCTTGCAAAATCATTCTACAGCGGCCTTGGCATAGGGGATGATGACATTTTTGTTTCTGATGGAGCTAAATGTGATATCTCACGTCTCCAGGTTTGTTTTATTCCTGAATGTTCTTCCTCAATTGATACAAGATAAGGAAAGCTGAGCAGTTGTTTCTTGGATCCATTTCTTGCAGGTTATGTTTGGTTCCAATGTTACAGTTGCTGTTCAGGATCCTTCTTATCCGGTAATTAGGCAGATATAAAATGAAATTGCAGTTGTAGTCTTGTCGAATTTTGCTTCATATTAACTTTTAACTATGTTTAATCGTTTTTCTGGGGTAATACAGGCTTACGTTGACTCCAGTGTTATTATGGGTCAGACCGGACAATTTAACACTGATGTGCAAAAGTATGGAAACATTGAGTACATGAGATGCACTCCAGAGAATGGCTTCTTTCCCGACCTATCCACTGTTGGCAGGACGGATATAATCTTCTTCTGTTCCCCAAATAACCCTACCGGCGCTGCTGCCACGAGAGAGCAACTAAAGCAGTTAGTTGAATTTGCAAAGAAGAACGGATCCATAATAGTGTATGATTCCGCATATGCAATGTACATGTCTGATGATAATCCACGCTCCATTTTCGAAATCCCTGGAGCAGAGGAGGTAATATAGCGATTGATTATAACATTTAAAGTTTCATTCTTTTCAATCTTCATGGGCACAACCTCTTGCAGGTTGCTATGGAGACAGCTTCGTTCAGTAAATATGCCGGTTTCACTGGAGTTAGACTTGGTTGGACCGTCATCCCAAAGCAGCTACTCTATTCAGACGGCTTCCCAGTTGCAAAAGACTTCAATAGAATTGTCTGCACTTGCTTCAATGGTGCCTCCAATCTCTCTCAAGCTGGTGCTCTTGCTTGCCTTTCCCCAGAAGGACTTGAGGTAAGCTTATTAGCTAAAGAGAAATCTCAGAAACTTAAACCAGTTCACACGAGTTCATTTTTTTTTTAAAAACCATTGCAGGCAATGAACAAGGTGATTGGATTCTATAAAGAAAACACAAACATAATCATCGAGACATTCACGTCTCTCGGGTACGATGTATATGGAGGAAAGAATGCGCCTTACGTTTGGGTTCACTTCCCGAAGCAAAGCTCATGGGATGTGTTTGCTGAGATTCTGGAGAAGACTCATGTGGTTACAACTCCAGGAAGTGGGTTTGGACCAGGTGGTGAAGGGTTTGTTCGAGTTAGTGCCTTTGGTCACAGAGAGAACATCTTAGAGGCATGTCGAAGATTCAAGCAGCTTTATAAATGAAAAGCCTTGTTATCATCAACCTCTTTTATGACTCTTGATTTGGGTTCAAATAATGTCGTCTCGTCTCCTTTGTTTCTTGAAGTTGTAACAATTTTCTCCACAAAGACATCATATTGTTGACTGAGTGATCGAGACATAGTAGATGTTGAGACAAAAACAAAAAAAATCTAACCGATTTAGAAAGGTGTTTTCGTAATTTATTCTTACTGAGCACCATGTGTGAATAAATCACAAATACACGTGGCGTCTTATCGCATTCTCATCAATTGCAATTGCAACCGAACGAGAGAACTAGTTTTTGTTGAGCCTTTCAACAATGGCGATTCCTCAGACTAAAATGGAGCTTCGGCCTTTGGGGAACACAGGGCTTAAGGTCAGCGCCGTGGGTTTTGGCGCCTCTCCGCTCGGTAGTGTCTTCGGTCCTGTCGCCGAAGACGATGCCGTCGCCACCGTGCGCGAGGCTTTCCGACGCGGCATCAACTTCTTCGACACCTCACCGTAAACACTTACTTCTATCTGTTCTGTTGACGTTTTCAATCATCTTTCCAAACTAATTGCTGATTCTTTCCCTGAAATTTCTCGGATTCAGATTCAAAATTGATGATGTGAGAATTAGAACTGTAGTTAATTAATAGTGTTATAGCGGAATTTTCAACTGAGCGAGTCTCTAATGATATGTATTTTTTGGTGAAGTTCATATGTATCTGTATTTGCTTTTTTCTCTATTGTGAAGGTACTATGGAGCAACACTTTCTGAGAAAATGCTTGGTAAGGCACTGAAAGCTCTACAAGCCCCTAGAAGTGACTACATTGTGGCGACCAAATGTGGAAGATATGAAGAAGGTTTTGATTTCAGTCCTGAGAGAGTAAGAAAGAGCATCGATGAGAGCTTGGAGAGGCTTCAGCTTGATTATGTTGACATACTTCATTGCCATGACATTGAGTTCGGGTCTCTTGATCAGGTCCACCACATTCTCTCTCTTGGTTGATCACTTCCAGTTATTGTTTGTATCAATACCTTTACATATAACTGTTCTTTCGTTGCTGTCAGATTGTGAGTGAAACAATTCCTGCTCTTCAGAAACTGAAACAGGAGGGGAAGGCCAGGTTCATTGGTATCACTGGTCTTCCATTAAATATTTTCACTTATGTTCTTGATCGAGTGCCTCCAGGGGCTGTCGATGTGATATTATCATACTGTCACTACGGCGTCAATGATTCAACGTTGCTGGATTTACTACCTTACTTGAAGAGTAAAGGTGTGGGTGTGATAAGTGCTTCTCCATTGGCAATGGGTCTTCTCACAGAACAAGGTCCTCCTGAATGGCACCCTGCTTCCCCTGAGCTCAAGGTTTGGCATTTTTAAAATGATGTGATTCTTTTTTATAACCCTCGTACGGGAACATACGGTATAATAGGCCAGTGTTAGGACATTTTCACAAGCATAAACATGTCATCTTTGATAGGCTTAAATGCTATACTTTGAGACTCAGTTCCTCTGTTTCTTAACTTGGACTACATTGTGAATTATGATAAGTCTGCATAATGCGGATTAGAGAGAGTTCAGAAATTTCCTAATCGCATTAACATATTAGCTGGTCTTTGATAAAAGTATAAGTAGAGGATTTATGAGCAGAATGGTATGTGGTTTATTTGAGTTTGGGAAAGTAGGGAATGCTCTTGAGTTAATTTCTAGGTTTTGGACTGTTCAGTTTGTTCGAAATTTTACTTTTTGATTTAGTGAGAAAGAAAGGATGATCCTGATGTTTTTCTTAACAAATTGTTCTCACTTATGGAAATTCAAAACCCGTTGCTGCTTCTATTGTCTTGTGTAGTCTGCATGCAAAGCCGCAGTTGTTCACTGCAAATCAAAGGGTAAGAAGATCACAAAGTTAGCTCTGCAGTACAGTTTAGCAAACAAGGAGATTTCATCGGTGTTGGTTGGGATGAGCTCTGTCCCGCAGGTTATCAAGTTTCTGGTTTTCTGGTCTAAAAATTACCATAATTATTTGGAAATTGGAGTTAGATATGAAACAAGTTGTGGTTTCTGAATCAGGTAGAAGAAAACGTTGCAGCAGTTACAGAGCTTGAAGGTGTGGGAATGGATCAAGAAACACTGTCTGAGGTTGAAGCTATTCTCAAGCCTGTAAAGAATCTGACATGGCCAAGTGGAATCCATCAGAACTAAAACAGCGTTGTCATTATTTTTTACTGTGTAAGTTCGCGTTGATATGATTAATAAAGTATCGTAGCAAACAAAATTAGCCAGAACATCTTTGATGGAACCCATTATTATATAGATTACGTCACAGGGTGAGATTACGGAAGAAGTTACAGTATGCTTATATACAAACACAAAGGAGGAAACTACGAAAAATGCATAAAATGGAAAATCTCGTTCACAGGCAACTAAGTTCAATAGCTTCTTGGAACCTCTTGTCATACGTAGCGGGATCGCCGAATAGCCAAAGACTAAACTTCGAGCGACCAGAATTTTCGGACGAGTTTCTCGCAGGAAGAAGACATTCGACAATCTGCGGCGATGAAGGTTGGCCTTGTCCTTGCGGCTGCAGAGTATTGTTTCTTGTTACCTGCTGAATTAGAGGATAGGGGAGCATGAACATCGCAGCTGATGATGCCATTGATAAATATAAATTCTGTGTTAAACTCAGAGAAAAGCAGAAGAGGTTATGAGTGCAAATTGGATGAGACTGCATTAAGATTAGATGCGTATTAATAATATGACTGGAGAGGAGGATAAAGAATGAAGGGAGTAGGTGTGTGTTTCTTTGGGACCAAGGAAGGTTGAAACCAGAAGTTTCAGTCGTTTTCTATAAAACTATATCCAAATCACAACCAACCAATTCGTGACACGTTGACAACACTACTAATTTGCGCTGAAAACGATGGCTAACTTGTGCCGATGCTATCATAAGATAAAGAATGTGTGACGACGACGACAATACCGTGTGGTGCTGCCCTTGCCGCCTTGGGACTAAAACCGAAAACTACTACTACAATATCCAAATATTAATTAAAGACTTTTAACTGTATAATTTTAAATAAATCTGACTTAAGAAAAGATGAACCTTAAAATGGGTTAAACTAGATATATCGTGATAATAAAAGATTGTGAAAATGTTTATTTTGTAACAATCAATGGTGATCAACTAAACTTTTGCAGTAAGCCAAAATAAAACCGGTAAAATCATCAATAAGCATCATAACGCAACTCATCAAATTATAATTGAGGAAGATGCATGCATGGGTTTGAAAAGAAAAAAAAAAGTTAAATTCTTTCTATGGAGAAAACCATGTGTGTGAACATGTTTTGGAGGAATATTGCTGAATGTAAAAACCACTTTATAAAGAAGAGAAGAATAATCAAGTTAAGTTGTAAGTTGTAATATGAGATTCCAAAAGCAAACCCCACTTTGCTTCGCTCACCACCTCACCCATCGATGCTTCCACTCGCCTCTCGAATCTTCCACCGAAGTAGAGAGAGAGAGAGAGAGAGAGAGAGAGAGAGAGAGAGAGATTCCTACAACTTCTTTTTTGACAATTCCACCGTGGTAAGTGTGTACTTTTTCAAGATTTATTCCCAATGGCTCCACAATTTCTCACCCCAAACAAAAACTACATTACAGGCTACTTTTAATAAATTTTGTTATCTACACAAAGCTATTTGGCGAATATAAATACACGTCGTCAACAACTTGCGCTCTAAAGATTGCAAAAATCCGTGTTCTCTTTGTCTCTCTACTCTACTATTCTTATTTCATCTCTGCTTCTATATTTTTTTTAATAAGTTTTTGCTCTTCCAAAACCTAAAATAATATATAGTAGTTTTTAAGTTTTCTGGCCAAAGATATGAGCGATCCAAAGTATGCATATCCTTACCCGGCACATCCGCAAGGTCCACCACCGCAGTATTATCCGCAAGGTCCTCCGCCGCCGGTGGGAGTACCACCACAGTATTATCCTCCACCACCGCCCCCTCCACCACCAAAGCGAAAACCTGGTTTTCTTGAAGGACTGTAAGTATTTTACGTTTCATTAAAGATTAATTTAATTTTGTTTCTGTTATTAATTGTCGCATTAAGGAGTTTAGTTGATTAGCCTTGTCGGAAATAAGTTCAGATTAATTTGGAGTTTTAAAGATCTTTTTTTTGGAATTTACGAATGAATTACTATGTTTTGTTGATAGTAATATGTATCTGTGTGTTTCGGTTTGCAGATTAGCGGCTCTGTGTTGTTGCTGCTTGGTGGATGAATGTTGCTGTGACCCGACCATTATATGCATTGATTAATTTTAAGAATGTTTTATAAAAATCACTCTACTATGTCTTTCTAATTCATTACGGACCTTGTGATATGGGGTTTAATTATGTAATAATTGTTGCAATTCCTGTGACCTACTTTACTTTCTTTCTTCTTGTCTCTCTCTTTAGGCTTAGGCTTGTCTCTTATCTACTATAATGTATCACAAATTTCTGCAGTTCATGAATAAATTAGTAAAGACCATACAATTCATATAATATCTGATTTCTGATTTGTTATAGACAAAGAAAATATGTTTTGTGGGAAACTTCAAAATTCAACTCAAACAAACATGGATCTGTGACGGTGCTCGATACGTGGTACTAGACTACTAGGTGGATATGCATGCGTTTTATCCAAATCAGGAAAAGTGGGAAATGACGTGTCCACTTCTGAACCAAAGAGTATGCAAAACGTCTCTTTAGACAGTAGACAATACAACAGATCGGATTTTTGTCCGAATTGTTTTTACAGAAGCGACAAAGCAAGCGAGTATCAAAGCTTTTAAAAATTGGGTTCGAATTGTGCAAGTGCGCTGATCCAAACAAAATGAATAATAACTCTTAACCAGCGCTATTTTGAAAATCTATGATTCAAAGTGAAGAGACTACAACTTGTAAGGTCATGTCGATATAAAACTTTGATGATCCACATAAAAGAAAGAAAGAAGAAAATAGGTCATGTGGACCGATAAGGTAATACAACTTATTTAGTAAAGAAATCGGAGTGAAAGAGTTTGCTTCCCGTTATTGTTGCAGGGAGCATTTGAAACAGATAATAAAACTAATTATATATCACCTTTCACTCCTTTATCAGTTAACCAATGCAGACTCCAAAACCCACACTGCCAGTTTTCCTATATAGATCCTTCATTTGACCAACATATATAAATTTAACACCAAAACCTCAAGAGAGCCATTAAATGAATGAAATGCGTTATCACAGTCGAGAGATATTCGATATTTGGATCATGTTAGTATCCGTATCCGTTTTGGTGTTGATCTCCTCCTCTTCTCGATCTTCTTGTTGTACTGGCAGACGCTGAGTATGAACTGCTTGTTGAATACTTTGAAGATGTCAGTAACTCCTGATGTTTTGACATTCCCGCCGACACCGAATCTGCTTCCAGAGGCAACTCATCTAGTGTCTGTTTAACCCGCAAAAACCATATCGTTATACAAACATCAAACACGAATTTCTTGAGAGGACCAGTTTTAAGTTTTTTTTTTTTGCTGAAATGAAGGATGTCATAGACACTTGAATGTAGATAATTAGTTTTGGCTCGAGAACATACCCTGTAAGCTTGCTGAAGAACGTGGAGAGTCTCCTGGGTGCGTTTCCGTTTACCTGCTATCTCTTCTGGCTCTTGCAACATTTCTTCAAACAAGTTCTCCCTGCGCCAGATGACACAACAAGTCAGTTCTAAGAGACTAATCAAAACACAGATGTGAGGAAAAAAATAACACATGCATCACCTGTAGAGCTTCTTGATGAAGACGTTATGCAGCTCACGTTTCGTGTGGTTTACCTGAAGCATTATAAAGAAATAGTATCAGCATCTCCAGAGTTCTGTTACTTTAAGCTAACCACAAGGTAATGTTGCACAAAAGTCAACTAACTGCTTTTCGTTTTAACTTTTTCAAAGAGAGATGATGAAAAAGGAATCAAATATCAAGGTGCTGACATATTGTACAAGTCTAAAATACTGAAAACACTTTGACAAAGTGATGAGAGTACTTGCCAGGAAATGCATGATTGCTTTTGGTACCGAATCCTCAATATTCTTCCTTACAATGTCATAGTATGATTTCAGTAACAGCTTTGTTATCTGAATCTCAACTGCTTCCTGTTCTGAGTGGGTCTCCGACGGCCTTAAGACAGCTGGGGGCTTTAGAAAGCAAAACAAATAGTATAAGTTGAATAGAAAAGCATGTATTGGCAAATATGAATCATCTACGACAGCACAGGAGACACACACCTCCTTTAGATAGATCATTGATAAGTTCTGAGACATATCCTCAACAGCTTCACTGTATGGTTTGTTTAATAAGTTATCTTTAGTAACTGCTCGAGTATCACCCCCTCGGAAAATTGAGGGAATGCCCCACCTTGTATCACTCGCATTTGCTATCATGTATCAATAAAACCACAATTAAAATCTACCCAGAATTATAAGCGATTAGCGTATCGAGACAATATATGTGTCCAAGGAGTTTCTGAAACATAACAAGAGATTCATTACACGACGGAAAACCTTACCAGCTGGTGCAGCTTTTTCAGCATCTGCAGATACAACTACCTAGGAACAAGTCAGGAGTTTAGTGTCAAATATTCACTCTTTTACTTGGAAATGACTAATTTGCTCATGGGTCTTAAGGGGACAGCCCACAGTGCACGATGATATACAGAATTAACTATACATCATTTGAATGACATACCTGATCAGCAACAATTCCATTAGCTTGCCTGCCGAGAAAAGATCTAGATTTCACTTGACTAGCGGAAGAAGATGTTCTATCAGGCTCCACTGTTTCCTGCTATATCAACTTGAATGTATAAGAAACACTGCAGAGCAAATAAAAACCAAAACCAATTTCAGTGTATCTGCTCAGAGTACTTCATACTTTTGGTCGTGCCACAGGATGGGGAATCCTCGAAGACTTCACGTGTTGCATTGCAACTTCCACAGCCTTGGTTCCACCAATAAAATTTGGATGTGAGGTGTTTATGTAATCCATCTGCAAACGGCATTCAAGAAATTAACACCACCATTGAAGCAATCATGACTGAAAAATGTTTCCTAATCAACCAACATGAGAAAATATCAGTCTAGGCTTCCGTATACTCGAAACAAAAACTCAACTGAAAAATTGATCTTGGGCTAATGAAATAAATATCGTAAGGATTTTCAATTCATGATACAAACCTCCATATCAATAATATCCCCGATCATTGCTTCTGAGGGTTCAAGACCTTCCCGTAGGAAATCCCCAATAACCTCATCCATGCGCTTTCTCAGGACTGGAAATCGCTGTAACTCATTCATCATACATCTATGGCTAATCTGTAGAGACAATTAAATTTATGAAGAAAATGAAATTATAATTATAATTTATCAACAACAAACCCAAAAAAAACCTCACCTTTATTAGCTCATCAAAAATGAACCTAGCGCACTGAAGGCTAGGATCTAACAAACGAGATATCTGCCTCCTAACAAGAACTTCAAAGGGTACCTATGCAAAATAGAATAAAATCAAGATACTGTAATTAGAAATTTTGGGACGTGCATAAGGTAGGGAAAAATAGGTATGCTTAAAGCCCTGACAACCAGAGTGACTTCCACACATGCTGAAACATGTAAAAAAACCTACATCTGGTACAAATAATGCGGATCTCGGCCCAGTTGCATTCTGAATTGCTGTCCGAATATCATCATCTGTCAAGTCTTCGCATGGATCAACCTCCTGAAGAGGCAATGCGAAGAAAGTCAATCAGTCTAAATTTATAGGAGTCTACTTTATCTAGCTCGGACAACATACACCGATCACATAAAGAAAAAGGTCAGTATCAAGCAGACAAGGAAAAGAGGAAGTAACTGTTCAGATACTCGAAAATAAAAATGACAATTCAACATTGTAGGGACTCAACGTTTATACAAACTGGGAACAAGTACGCTCTAGAAAGCATTTGGTAGCAAAAATGCAATGCCACAAAGAGCTTAGAGTCAGATATATAATACATTACTTCCATGTGGATGTATCACTAGCCTAAACTCAGTAAACGTTTCCATAAAATGTCATTCACACATGTAAACTTTCTCTATTGATATTAATGAAATGAATCTTGAGCATCAAAGATCATAAGTGTATCAATAAAAGTAAGGGAAAGCATTGGCTAGTTAAGAAAGGGAATTTATAACTCCTGTTCAAGCTCAAGGAATGTCAAAACGAACCTCCAAACTCTTAACAAAGATTGACTGGAAAATATAGTGAATTCTTGCTCCTCCAGAGAGCTCAGACGTGGACATTTCTTCACTTTTCCCTTCCAGCAATGAAGAGTACGCTGTTTAAAAAAGGTTATCCATGAGACTCACTATTAATCATAGAAACATATACCAGATATCCAAAGTTTCAACTAAAACATCGGCTTCAGCTATTACCTTCACAGTATTTAGAAAGAAAGTTGAGGAGAAGAGCTCCTTGACCAGCCTAAAAATTTCAAGGACAGTAAAGATCCACAGAATACGATAAGTTTGACTTACGGAAGATTAAAAATAAAATAAAAACCTCAAAGAGATGAAACGATAAATTTGACTAATTGGACAGTAAAATACACACCCTGGATTCTGTTATTTCACCATAGCTTTGATGCTCCTTAGCTGTAGCAACCAAAGCATTACTTATACGTGACTTCAAATCCGGAAGCAGAACCTTGATATGTTGAACGAGGATCTAGAAAAAATGCAACAGAAAGGCTAGCATCTATTATACATGTTCTGATAGAATAAGTACCAATGCCAGGTATGAAATCTACGACATGATATCAACATTCCAACATCATCCCATCTTAGATATTTCAACATAGAAAAAGTGTCTCCCTTATGCCTTACTAAACAAAGGCTCAAACTGCAAAAAAAATACCTGATTTAACTTCTTTGCTAGCTGAGGGATACCCACACGATCGGCAAGACCATGGTAAGCCTGTATAGGAACCAAAAAAGTTGTTATAATCAGTAAAGTAGCAAGAATATCAGAAAGGGATCAGCAAAATGATGCTATCATACTGGACGACTCCGGAAGAATTTCTCCTCTGCTACAAGTGCTTCCTTGATTGTGCGGTTGAGCAGTATGTCCTGTTAATAAAATATAAAGATTAAAGAACACTTTTACACTGTAGATATAGACACCAGAAAAGCTAGGAAAAAAAAACTATCACCATAACACTGAAATGATGATATTAGAAAAAAAAAAATTAAGCACAGAAGTATAAGTAAGTTAACACAAGTCACATAAAAGAAGAGCCACACTAGGCAAAACAAATTAATAAGGTAATAGTTGGAGCAAGCACGGGTAAAAGGTTTACCTCCTGGCAACGATTTACAACTCCCACATATCCAAGTCGAAGAGGAACAACATTTCCAAGTAGGAGATTTCGAGCATCAGTACCTTTGTCCATAATATCCAACTGAAAACATGATAAAAGATAAAGTAAAACACATGATAAATAGGGATGCCTATCTTTTTGGCCAAAGTACAATGACACTAAACAAATGATGGACTGGGAATAGTCACCTTTGTGATTACACCTATCGTTCTATGACCTGGAGAGAGTAAAGATTCACAACCGGTGGACGATGAGTAATTTCAAAACAACCCATAAAAAAATCAATAATTCTTTCTCATTGGACGTGTTAACAGGACTTACCATCAGGATCTGCATTGCTAGCAATTTGAAGGGCATCAGAGTTTGCTAAATCGGTATTTGCAGGGGTAACAGCCAATATCAAGCAAGTATCTAACTTGATGTATGACAAGATCATGGTTCTTATACGTGCCTCAATGTCGGATGGCTGGTCACCGACTGGGACCTTGGTAATACCAGGCAAATCCACAAGCGTGATATCCAACACATTAGGTGAATGAATTGTAAGACGAATCTGTTTGTCTGCTACATTTTTGTTCCCTCCTACTAATCTATTCGTCTCAGCCTACAAAGATGTTGAATTCATACATTAAAAGCATCAAAGTCAATGCGTCCAAGCAAGCAGCTAAGAAAAGGAAGAAACTTAGAAAACAACTGGGCAAAAGGGTATTAAACGAAGCAGAGAAATTAAGCAAAGGGAGAAAATAGAAAACCTCAATTTCTCGACGAATCTCAGAAAAATCATAGATACGAGTGTTTTCAGGAAGGTGACGAAACTCCCCCCACTCGTCGTCGGATCCGCCATTAGAGCGGCTTTTAGTCTGGACGAGCTGGAGAACAAGAGGACGACGGGTGCAGATATCATTTCCCCGGGGGAGAAAGTCACGGCCGACGAGTGCTTCAAGGACGCTAGACTTGCCACTGCTCTGGCTTCCAACGACAGCAACCTGAGGAAGCGCGATCGAAGACTGGCTTCCGAGCTGAGCAAATATGTCCTGTAGCTTGTTAACAATCGGAATCACGGAAGATCCCAACGGTGCGGCCTTGGCGGTGGTGGAAGAAGGCGTAGAAGGAGGAGGCGTAGACGGAGGAGTCTCACCGGTAACTTGTTCAATAGCCATCGGTGGGGATCGGATTAAAATGAATCAAAGGGCTAAGGTTTTGGCAAATTTGGGTAGAGAGAGTTCGTGCACCAGAGAAGAAACTGGAAAGAGAAGGTCAAAAATTTTATACTCTCAGATTTTTTCGTGCTCAACTCTATCGCACAGAAGACACACACAGGGCTAACTTCTTCGTCTTTTTTATATTTTTTCTGTATTTATTTAATTATAAGAAGAATGAAATTTTCTTTTTTACTTGCGTAGGAGTTCTAGGACCGTGATGAAGAAAGTTAACTATGTAAATTTAATTTCAAATTTTTAAAATTTTAATTTTACCTTTTATGGCTATAAAAAATATAAATCTCACCTTGATCTCCATGGTCCCAAAACTCCAAAGCTGAAATTAGCAATTTCATAAACTATAACATTCTCTTTTATTTCAAGCTTTTTTGTTTTTTATCAAAAGGTTTCACTTTTAAAAGTTGAAATCCCAATAAAAAAAAATATTTTTGAAAAACAACATCACGAGATAACCAAAAAAGAGTGTTTCCAAAACCGATGCTGCATAAAGATGAAACCGGCTAAGGTTCTATTTAAACCGGGCGAGTGTGTGGGTTAATTCAATTGTTGAAGAAAAATCGGTACGATAAGATTTTGAACCGGTTAAGTGTGCGTATGTTTTCAACCGGACAAGAACTTGTGTGTGTCATCCAACATTAATCGAGCTGTCTTGGTCAGATTGGAAAGAAGAATCTCTTGATCAATAGTTCTTACGCTGAACCTCTCTCTAAGGAAGAAGAAGAAGAAAGAAAGAATGAACGTCGAAGAAGAGATTCAGAAACTGGAAGAAGAGATCCATCGTCTTGGTTCTCGTCAGCCCGATGGCTCTTACAAGGTCTCTCTCTGCTTCTTTTCCTCTCTTTCTCCTTTAGCTCTTAGATCTCCCTAAAATCTGGAATCCACGAAGTCTTATCTCAAGATCGTCACAATTTCTCTCGCTCAGATCTAAAATGAAATAAAAAATGGTTGACTGATATGATTATGATCCTCCACATTGATTTGTTCTGTTTCTTTTTTGGATTCAGGTGACGTTTGGAGTCTTGTTCAATGACGACCGATGTGCCAACATCTTCGAAGCATTGGTTGGGACATTGAGAGCCGCCAAGAAACGCAAAATTGTGGCTTTCGACGGTGAACTCTTGCTTCAAGGTGTTCACGACAAGGTTGAGATCACTCTCCGACCAACACCACAGCCACCGCAACCTGCTTCTGCCTCCTCCTCCTCCTAAGTTTCCCATTTCTGCTTTTCAATCTTTATATCCTCTCTCTGTGTGTGTGTGATAAAATGATAAACTCCAGGACCAATGATTTCCTTTGCTTCTCTATTGGAATCACGTATAAAGCTTGAGCTGTTTTTCAGTTGTTGCATGCAACAAAGATACTATCGAGAAAGATTTATCAACAGAGATGCCATATTATCAACAGAGATATACAAAAGAAATCTCAATATATAACAACTCTTACCAAGTTTAGATATATAACAACTCTTACCAAGTTTAGATATATATATATAGCAATCTCTGAGGAAACATACACTAATTTACATATATCTGAAGAAACTTCTCCCGCTTTACAATCCAGTTTCCTTTCTGACCAAAAGTCTCAGAATCCAACTAACGAACTGCATGACCAAAGACTCTATGGCGTGTTAAATCTTGCCGCAATTTAGGCACCTTAATCCAAGCTCCCCAAAGAGACTAAGGAACTCTATACTGGTCCAGAAAGACAAAAGTGAACCCTGATCTTGAAGTAATCTTATCCTAGGCATAACCTGTCCCATTATTCTGCAAATAGTGTATTTCGGTTATACCTTCTCAGTACCGACCAACTTCATACTGCTTGTGTATCTAGGAGTATACTTACACAGTGGTTACAGCCAGAAAAAAACCCTTGCTCGATTGTAGAGCAGAAGACCAAAATGAAACTAGGCTTGAAGCCTCAGGCGGTTGAAGAACATCACAAAGTGATATTCAGGTGCCCAATAGACGAATCCGACGACGGGTCCTCCTTTTACATACTGCATCAAAACAATAATACATGAAACACATCACACACAGGAAATGTTAACTTTTAAGTTTGGATCATGGACAAGTTAGTTTTAGTTAAGTGAGAGACGAAGAGAGGAACCTTGCCATCGAGGATTACAAGCTCGCCATCTACCCATCTCGGATTACGAAATCCAGGATCGGCAAGCCTACCTTGGCCTTTATATCTGGCAATCTGCATTTGTTAAGAAAATACTATATTATGAAGCTACACACCACTCCAATAAGAAAGCAGAGCTTAATGAAAAATCTGAAAAGTGTTGTAAGCACACCACTCCAAATTCTTCGGGGATAAGTCCTTTATGTGGGAGCTCATAACGTTTACCAATCTTTGCCCGAAATGCAACCTGCCATGGGATAAGACTGTGGTAAGGCACACATCATGATATGGCGATAAAAAGAGAATTAGAGAAGAGCAACTAAAAAAAGAAGGATAGTGAAAATATATAGCTAACCTTCCCAGCAGGCACATAAGGATCTCCAGTTAGTTTCACAGCTTCAACATATTCATAAAATTCAATATCTGTTGGCTTCTTAGACTCCTTTCCACCTTTCCACTGGCCAAATTTGCGTTTTAAATGGATTACTTCTGATGTATACAGCCCATGTGCGCCAATATAAAGTCCTGAATAGAGAAGAACATGAAAATTAAAATCCATTTCATACGGAGAGCTGATGTAAGAAATATGGTATTTCCAGGGAAGGTTACAAAATTTAAAATTATTCTATCGCAGGGACTCACTTATCACGCCCAAAAAATTAACTTCTAACAGCTTAGCAACCAATACTGATAAAGTTACAATAGCTTAGGAGCCATCAAATGCCCATGCCCATTTTCTTTCGAGAGACACAAAACAACGCACATTCAATTAATTTACTCACTCACCGTCTAGAGGATCTAGTGATGGTGTCACATCAATGCGACGGAATTTCGTCAAACCCGACAACTGTTGACGGTTTTGAGCCTGGCTGAGAGTGAGGCTTAATAGCTCCCCAACATCCTTAAGCATCTGCAAAGTAGATTTCTAGAATAAGCTGCGTCTCCCTTTTTGCAGTAAAACAAGAAGAAATAAGATAGCCAATAAACACAGCAAAACAAACCTTGACAGAAATCTTCTTCTCTTTCTCAATTGATTTGGCCAGATCAACCATAATGTTATCAATCCTACGTCTACTTTGGCGGCTACCTTTTCCATCAACTAGTGTATCTTCTACACCCTTAGACTCTTGGACGTTTAAATCTTTCTCTAACCGAAGATAAAATGAAGAATTCTCCACAGTTTCCAGATTGGCAGGTGAACGAAGCGACTCTTTAAGAGGTTGGTTTCCAGAAAGCCGATCAACAATATCGCCTATAACAAATTTAACCGCAATTTCTCTTCCCCCGTTGTTGTCAACGATTTCATCCGTCACAGATTCTAATTCAATGTCAGCATTTTTTTCATCGATTTCAGCCTTAGTGTCGTCTTCCACATCTATATCTTCTATGTCAAGATTGTTCTCTTCATCTTCTTCATCAGCTATCTGCTCAATAACTTTTGAGATGAAATCCTTGTCCACCCTTCCAGGTGCAGTTACTTTCATAACCTTGACCTTGACCCCAGGAATCATATCTCGCAGGAAACTCTGGAAACCAGAAGATTCCTCAAGGAGATCAGAATCATCATCTGAGTTATCACTCTCTTCATCTTCACTACTGTCGATGGCAATATTACCCGTATCTTCCTTCCTTCCTGGTGAAGTCAAAAACCTACCAGAATTCAAAGCTCTTGAAGGCATAGTTGGTACGTCTGGAAAAATCTCCTTCCATTTCAAGTACACAGCCTGAAGAAGCATACATCCCAGTTTAACATCGAAATATATTACTCCATCTAGATAATCTAGACACATTCGTCTTGATAAATAAAGTAGGAAAATCACACTTTGCTAGTTTGCTATCTACTGAAAAGGTTCAGCTTCCTAAAAAGAACCAAATGAAGCAAACCCCCAACTTCAGCAACTAAACCGGAACATGATTCTCCAATGAATACCCCATTACTCAATTTGGACAGTAACACAGTAGGATTAAGGAGTAAAAGAACCTGCTTTCTGTAGTTCCCTTTTCCATCAAGTGTCAGAAATATTTCAAAAAGAGGAGCACCAGCAGCAGATGTACTAAGTTGCCTGAAAGAGAAAGGGTTGTCATATAACACAATCTTTCAAACAATGAATGATCTAGAAATTTTTGGCGTTTTGATACACTGCCACAGATAAATGGATGAGAAAAGAAGATAGAAGTACCGAGGATTGTAACTTCTTGCCACATATCTTCCATGCTCTGCAGTAATTTGAACAATAAGACCAAAAGGATCTTTGACATCTTCAGAAATACCTGACCACCATCCTACCTGTCCAGCCATATAGAGAAGACGATGTAACACCAAGAAGAAGCTAAACAACATTTAGTAATGAAAATAAGAAAAAAAGAACATATAATGAGCTCACCAACCCAGCACCAGCTTTGTCTCGCAAGTCTACCGCATCCTTGTAACGCTCTTCTAAAACAGCTCTCTATGAAAAATGCAAAAAATGGAATCTTTCAGAATCAACTATAAGTATCCCCGAGAGTGTTGCTAGAAAGAATGACCACATTTTACAAGGCAGAATAAATTACATAAAAACTGGACATGACTTTGCCAACAGCATCGTTTGTAGCAGCAGCTGCAATGGCCACCTTAAGCCTGGCAGCATCTTCGTAGTCTTCTCGTTTGATGGCTCGATTCAATTGCGACTGTACACCAAAATACAAAACACCCCCACATTAGAACAACAATATCGGGAATGAACAATATGAGCAATGATAGATAGAATCGAACCTTCAAGACGGAGAGAAGACGGTCTTGGTCATCGACAAGTTCGAAATGCTTCTTCCATCGCTCCCAATCCCAATCGTCTTCGTTCTTGTTGATATTCCCCGAATCTTGCTCGACGTCGTAAGAAGCATCGGTATCCTGGTTGGAGTACCAGCTCAAGACCGAATCGAAGCGTTTGATGGCGCTTTTGAGGACATCCTGAATGGCGGAGTCCCATCTAGGGATGTCATCGGAGGAGGAAGAGGAGGAGCAGCGGCAGAGAGCGGTAGGATCGGGGAGACGATGAGGGTAAAAGGGTCTTCTGGAGGGAGTGAGCCTGGATGACGTGGCAGCGGCGGGGGAGAAGGCGAGATTTTGTGACGGCGGCGTGGATAAGGAAGGCATCGCCGGAGAGAGATGAGAGAGAGAGAGCTTGTGGGTGTTTGGAGGAATCCAATACTGTATATATTTTTTGTGTTGTGTGGATGAAACGGGCTTTGATGATTTGTCCAACGGAATCGTGTGCGACTAGTCGTCACTCGTGAGTGTTTTATTATTATGTGTATGTGTTGTTGTTATGTTACTAACCAACCAAACGTTTATTTTGTTTTTGGTATGCGGATGGGCTTATGTCTCTCCCTGATATTTTTTCAGGATAGATAAGAAGAAGAATAGCATACGAACGCTATACTTATCCAAAATAAATGTTGCAGATTTTAAGCTCTTGGAAAATTCATACATTTTGCAGATCTATTTATCATGGCTAGGTGTGGTTAGGTTTAGACTATCGTGCGTTGTGGTCTTGAGTTTGGTTTCTTAAACTAAAACCAGCGCCAAGCCACACCCCCAAGTTTGAGTAAGAAGCCATGTCAAATCCATGAACATATGATGATGACTAGGCTGGAGTGTTGTAACCACTCTACTTAAATCGATATTTGATCAAAATTCGATAGGTGGAGGAGCCTCTGAATAATTTATTAGAACCGACTCTGGTTATGATGTAGTCACTGAATGCAAAATATCTAGAAATTAATTATTAGATAGTACTAGTACAAGTATCTATCTTCTAACAATAACAACAACAATGATGTAATATAAAATTAGTAAGCTTGAGATTATATCCCAAAGAAGAAAGAGAATAAAAGAGAAGGCTTGAACGTCCGGTGAAAGGATCCAACTTTACCCAGTAGTAGTAGTTAACCAACTTGTGAATCCTCCTCCTCGGCCAAACACATCGAATCGCTACCAAAAAGGCTTCTCCGTTTCGTTTTTCCAATATCCCACCGAAGAAGGCGGATCATCTCCGGAAACAGAGGAAGTAGTAATCTCACCTGGACCTGTGAAATTGGTTTCCGATGGATAGGACTGATGAAATCGAAGAAACCCCCGCCGGACCTTCTCCCCGATCCGCGAAATTGAAGCTCGGGAACAGAGCAGACCCTTTCCTTGTTGTTTGCAGATGCTTCAGCCTCGTTACCTCCCTCATCGCCATTCTCTGCGTTGTCGTTAATGTTCTCGCTGCCGTTCGCTCCTTCCGAGACAGCCACGATGTAATCTCGTCTTCTTCTTCTTCTTCTCTATCTTCCTCTCTGTGCGCAGCTATTAGATTTTGATCTTTGTTTGAAACTTTTCCTCCGAGCAGCTCTTCGATGGAATATTCCGGTGTTACGCTGTGGTGATTGCTTGCTTTGTTGTCCTCGTTGAGACAGAATGGGGATTCATTCTCAAATTTTCAAAGGTTCATACTTTCTCTTATCTCTTTCCTCTATTTATTTTTTTCCTACTATGATTTGTTTCCAATGTGTTCCTAATTCTATACAGGTTCTTGAATTCTGGGCTGGGAGAGGAATGCTTCAGATTTTGTAAGTTACATACAGAACACCTTTGTAACCTCCTTCTTCTTGTATTGGTATGGTGTAAATCTGGTGGTACTATTATAATTTGTTTTTGGAGTGCTGCTCTAGTTAATTCAAGATGAGGATCTCAAGAATGATACTGTTGGTTTGCTACTGAATTTTGTGCTTATATCTCTATCTGTTTTGGTCATTTTAGTGCGGCTGTGATGACCAGAGCTTTCCCTGATTATATGGCTCAAAGGAAGGATCTCCTGCTTCTACAGAATATCGCTAGCTACTTGCTCCTTGCTTGTGGTGTTATCTATATCATTTCAGTACGATATCCCAATTCTTCCTATGATATCACATCTGCTTATTCTTCCTCTATTCTTCCATTACTGTGGAATCTTTTTTCATATTAGTTTGTGCGTTGTGATAGATATCGTGGTTGCATCTTGCTTATCAGAATGTGTTTCACTAGACAATGAAACTTGGATCGTGCATCTTATTGTCTCTTTTTATTTTAAGTGAAGAGTCTAGCATCTTGTTTTGAAGGTTACCAGCTCACTCTATGTGATTTTTATGGTTTGTCTGGTAAGAATCCATGTTGGCACTTTGTCCCAGGCCTTTACAATCATTTGAATTCCTCTTAGCTCTGAATAATAGTTGCTTGATGTTAGTAGTTAGCAAGTCCCTAGGTTTGTTTCCAACTTAACAAGATGAGCTTTTGGGGGGAGTTTTTAGTCACCACTTCTGCCTGGGTCACTTTCTTTCCAGTTCTGCCTGGGTCACTTTCTTTTCTTGGCAATATCTCTGAGTTCTCGTTTATGTTTTCCACTGTCAATCTTTGATCGTTGTCTTAACTTCAGGGAGTTCTATGCATTGGCTTTCTGAAGCGTGCTCGACAGCAGAAGGAAATTTCAAGAGAACAAGCCATCAAGGATCTTGAGGCAAGTACTGATAGTTTATTTTCATCGAGTTTCCATACTCTGCATCATTATCATTATCATTATCATTATCATCGTCATATTCCTCAAATGGCTTCTAAATCATCGACTGTTGTTGCAGGAAATAGCCAGACGCAGGGAAGAATTAGAACAGTTGCTCCTGGAGCATCGGAATAGAGATGACGATGTGTGAATGTAATCACAGGTACAGCTTCATTGGATGGACGACATCAGCAGTTTCTTTTTGTGTTAAAGGATTGTGTGAGCTATCTGTTTTCATCCTTCTACTTGGATAATAACAGCAGATTCTTTTGTTTTTTTGTCTGTTTTTTGTCTGTTGAAAAACGAAGCTTTGATACTTGTCTTATAAGAGACGAGAGCACTATTGAATACTGTATGAATTTCAACATATTGATGTAAATTTCTTGCAGTATATACATTAGACGTTATAAAAATGTTGTTAATTGCTGAATGTTATATCTTTCTTAAAGGCAAAAGAGGAAGCTAAGCAAAAACAATTAATATTTATTCATAATGGGGCTAGGAGATTGGAGAACTAGTAATTGCATAAGATTGGCGATATTCATCTTCATCGATATACTGTATCAAGTTTTTGGCTTCTTAGCCATCACATTTGAACTTGTGACTAAGAAGTTTTCATCGTCTGAGCTTCTCTCATCATCAGACAACACAAGAAGAATGTTACTATAACAAGAAACAGCAGTTGAATTTTTACTCTCGTTCACACCATTTTCGACGGATGCTGAATCAGACTTGATTTCTCTGCTTCTATGAATCCCTGAGGATTCTCCAGTCACTCTAAGCTCATCATCATCATCTTCTTCTGAATCTTGAGAATCAGAGACATATTCTACTGAAACAGTTTCTTCATCTTCACTGTCCTCGATATAAAGCATGCATTCCTCTTTTCGTAATGTATCTATCTCGTGATCAATAGATTCTTGTATGTCCATTGCCAAATTGGGTGTTTTCTCACCACTTTCTTGAACTTCTTCCTGGATTGAGAGAAAAAGTAGAGATTAGCTATCAACATATACTTAGCACTAGAATCTAAACTGAAGAAATATAAAAGGAAATTTTACCACTATAGGCGACATAAAGACCTTTCGGAGCTTAGAAGACTGAGGGTCATATCCTCCTGTGTAAAAAGTTTCTTTGCTAAGAATCAGAACTGGCGAGCAAGTCTTTGTTTGGGGAACGTCTGTAACGGTTGATGAGGAACCATCAAATGGGTTTCTCCAGTTACAGCTCTCGATCACATTCTTGCTTTCATTTGCTTGATCGTTCTTGTTGGAAACTTCACAATGAGGAGGTTCACTTTTGGAATTCGCTGGAAGAATACTTGGATCATGACCTTTGTGGAGATTGTAAAGCAATTCTAAGATGAATTTACGCTTAAGTGAAGCTTCTCTTGTGGGAAACCAATTCCTATTTAGCTGTAAAGAAGCACATAATAAGTTAAACCATCACAATCGGTGGGGCGATTTCATATCATAAGAAAAATGAAGATCTTCGCACATACTACAGAAGTGAAAGCATCGACACTACAACTCAATTGAACGTAAATAAGAATCTAAAAGTTTGTATCAGTTTTCTAAAATTATTCGTGAAACAGATAAAATAACTGCCAGAACTTGATAAGATTCTTAAATGCATGTATCAATAGACAATCTTAAGTTAAAATAAATAATACACAAAACGATCTGCTTACTATGGCATAGTAAATTCAGTATATCAAATGCAACTTCATCATATCCAAGGAGATGGAAACAAGACTACTTACAAAATTTGCTGATCTTGTGATAAGGGATGGATTGAATTTAGCAGGAGCTTGAGCCACAAAAAGATCCAGATAGTGGAGCAAAAATAGGCCACAGTCAAACGAATTCTGTTGCTGCGGGAGCTGCATTAGTCAAATGAAGCAATAGCATCACAAAAGCCACTGAAGAAATTCAAAGTTCACAATGGAAATATCAGTTAAGTCCACTAGAATAGTAACATGTTTTTCGAAGATAGCCTAACAACAAAAATTGATATGATATGTTAGACACGTCTACAGGACAGAACTATATTTGTTTTGACATGTGCCTTCTATCTGAGATCAAGATAATTTTATCCTTGTTAGGAAGCTACCTCAAGTGAGATGGACTGCATATTTGGAGCTCCTGAGAAATCAATAGTTGTATTTCCATGCCTCGCTTTCCACTCTTCACGTAGGTAACTATAATCACATAATGAGCATTTGAATTGTTATGAAAAAATCCATGTATTTGAAGGAAAAGTGGAGAAACGGAATAATAAACAGATGTAAATGTGCAGAAATTTATTAAAGACTTCTCATAAAGATCAATCAACAATTCAGCTTTGATCTCAACCAAAAAGAAAATGGATCCAGCCTCCTACGCATACGTTGCATCCAACACTATATTATTTAGCAATAACTCTCGAGACAAAAAATCAAAAGTACCGTGACTTAAAATGGCCTCTTGAAACCCAAATGTCAAGAACGAGTAAATGCTAGGGCAGTGAACTTTTATGAAACGTGTTAGAGCATACCTCGGAAAAATATTTATGAGACCACCTTTGTGGCTTCCTTTAATCGAGTCCAGATGCAAGATGCAGGGAACCCTTTGTGGGTTTTCGACTTCATTATCAGAAGAGTAAAAGTAAGTCCACGCGCATAAGAAAATTACATAACGAGTTCATCTTACCATCAGAAGAAGCCAATTCACCGGGATGACAGATGATAATCAGACTCCAATGAAAACTGCAATCAAGTGCAAGTATAAGTCATCTTATCAGTAGCAGGAGCAAATAGTTTTCTGTGGGAAATATGTTCTCACCTGAAGTTTATAGGAATAAATATATAATCTTTTTCAAAAATATCCACATTCTTAGTCCACTTCTGAACACGTTGGTATGCTTCCCTACCTCCAAACGAGCTAGGTGAACCTTTGTCTAAATTAGCCAGCTTACGGAAAAAGAAACAGTTGAAAAAGTGGAATCTGCCCCTTTCCTGCGGCGGAATTCGATTCTTAAGGTACCTGTAAGTATTAAATCCAACTTTACAAGCTGCTTCGGACTAGCTTATGCATTAAAAAGGTAACTATAATAAAAGCAAGAATAATACGACAAGGTTGTTGCAAGCCTTGCTTCTGGCTTGTAAGCATCCTCTGCTCTACAGATACAGTTTTTATTACCTTCTAATATTAAGTTAATATGGAAAGATAATAACTTACTTGATGTAAAAATCAATTATTGTATCGTTGATGAAACGTCTTGGCTTGAGAAGCTCAATGTCTTGCTTCCTAACTACTACAGCATCTGGCTCTCCTTTAGGGTAGACTAGATCTTCAAATGAATCAGCGAGACTGAAGATCAGAATACAAACAGCACATATCAAGAGGTAAGATAAAGTCATTAAATACCATAAAAGAAGAGTACATCACCAAATTGTCAAACTACATTTACCAACGTTTACAAAACCACATTATTCAAGATATTAAAGTTTAAACTCACTTAGAGAGTGAAGTTCCCAAATTCTGTCCAGTACAAGCACTTTCCTCGCTTTCCCTGTCAACATTCAACAACGAAAAATAAAAGTTATAACTTAGAACTGACAAGATAGTTTTCTCATCTTACTAACTTCTTTCTCCTCAAACCTTTTACAGGATTTAAAACATAAGTGGTCCTTGTTAAGGACAAAAGCTCTTCCATATATTGATTCGTACAGCTTCGAAGAAATCTAATTAGGTAACCAGGAAACAGTTGAATGCAAGAGAGCTCGTTATACGATAGTGCACATATATTTGGTTCACTATGTCAACAATTCTGTTAACGAATGTGGAAAAAAAACATAGTTGGGTCATATACCACCAACATGATAATGATGGTAGGGGAGGAAGTGAGGGGAACTGCAAAGACTTACGTTATGGTGTCAAACCAAATATCCTTGTATTTCGAGTCCAGCAATTTGATGATTTCTACTTCTTCAGACCATCTAGGGTCATAAACGGAAAATTTTAGGAGATCAATTCCTGTCAGCATGGGTGCAGATGTTAGTTAAACAAAAGCTGACGTTGTAAACATCAAAAACTACAAATAGAGAGATATGATGTGTATGCCAATCTTATTTCATTTAACAATTTGAGTAATTCCCTCGTGTGAGAAAAAGAATTTCCCTTGAACTTAAGCCACACTAACATAAACAAAAGTGAACTTATGTTGTGACCTGAAATCTCTTCCGCACTGTCAACTCCTTCTGGCTCCTTGGACTTCAGAAGGACGTTGACAAAAGCAGTCTCAACCTAAAAAATATAACTCAAGCATTATAAAAAAAAACATCAACCTATAAATGAAGCTCCAACAGAACTCACCTCCAAACACCACTGAGACTCAATTTTGATGATATCTTCTATTCTCCACTGACAACTAAAGGTCCCTTTAGTTGCATTTACTGATGAACTTTCAACATTCATACAGCTGCGTGAAAATGTTAACTTCGAGTTTGTACAGTATATATCTCCATATATAATAACATCAGGGGTAATAAGAAGTTGTGCATTCTCGGGATCCTGTATATGCAGCAAAAATAACGCATGAGATATTGTCTGCTTACAAACAGCAAATCGACAACTTTTCAGAGGAAGAAGAGCTTATGTTTTCACATTGTTTTTGATGCTTAACTATCTCTCTAAGTAAAAGAACAGCATATACTCAAAAATACTTACAACTTCATGCGGATCAGAAGTAGGATTTGTGGCTTCTCCAGTTGAGGCTAAAAAAATCAGAAGTTTCTTTGAGCAAGCAATTTTGAATGAAGAAACAGAAAAAAAGAACTGAAACTATAGATGAAGAATACCAAAAGGCCAAAATACCTTCATCATTATCTGAGAGAGATGATGAAGTTGATGAATCGATTCCAATCCTTTCCTGGGAGCCATTGGAGATTACATCAATCAGGTCACCCTGCAATATATTATACAACAAAAATTAGAAAGTTTCTAGACATTCTAATTCCTTATAATAAATCCTGCATGAGAAAGGCTCACAGTTCCATCTCCGCGGAGCTCACATCTTGACGGTTCTTCTTTTGCTGGGACTGCATAAACCGACAATAGTTTAGCCAAGCTTAGATGGCCAAATAGATAAAAGTTCAAGGAAATGGTGATCGCTGCAGTAACTCAAATGCCACAATTCAGAAACATATCCTTTAGGATTGAACTAAAAATTAAGTCATTTTCAATCAACCACATTAGCATCTGAAAATTTGGTACTCTACAATTTTCCTAGAACAATTCTTCATCATTGCAGTAGAGAACTGTTCTCCAAGATGTCGTTTTCGTAATTTTACCTTCAACATCAATAACAACGTGGTCCAGTTCTTTACTCTCGCTTTGGGGGTTCTCCGCAACTGCAATAGAACATCACGAAGGAGTGAATAACCAAAATCGATACAAAAAAATAACAAATGGAAAATTCAGAGAAGAAAACACTTACAGCATCGGAGGAAGTCATACTTATCGATGGCGGAGGAGGTCTTAGTAACAGGGGAATCGTATCGTCGAAGGAGTTTCTTCGACATCTCTTCAACACGTTCATCCTCGTCGGTGTAATCGTATACTCCAATCGGCTTCCGCTTACTTCGGGATTGAACTGACCGGAGAGTCATCGGCGCCTGAATTATACTGAGTTACTATTGTTCCGACGGCTATAGAAGGTTCGAGGCGTATTCTGTACGATGATGATGCTATACGCCACAAGAGACGGGATTTGAATTTTCAATTTGTTTCGATTCTGTCTTGGGTTAGGTTGACTTTTGGGAAATGACCACACAGATTTTAAATTCTGTAAATTGATTTTAAATTCGTACCGATATCCTGAGAAGGAAGACGGCTATTACCGGTTTTACCGGTCGGATCCGTTAAACCATGAACTATATCCGGTTCAGAGTTTTTTTTTTCTTTTTTTTTTGCAAAGTCGGTTTAGTCACAGATTCGGACAGCTATAACAGAGTCATGATAATTTTCATTTTATTTTGATGTTCTGTAGTTTATTTTGTATTTCATATTTTATGTTGTCATTCTAACTATCTTTTTATGAAAAAGTAAATAAGATTTTGTAATCTATTGTATAGTTGTAGATTGGTACGTGTAATTGTGCGTTTTTTAAGCTTAAAAGAATTTGGTTATTATGTAATTTGTATATTAGAGGACGAGGGTTTTGATTGTTGAACTAACTTTAACAAAAATCCTTGAATTGTCAAACTAGTATACAAAACACATTAAGTTGAACTAACAAAAGCACAAGCCAACCATAAAGTAAACCTACCAAAAAAACATATAAGATATTGTACAAGAAGTCTTTGTAATCCCTTGCATAGACACTTGCCATTATATAAACTCATTCGCATACCTTTGACTTTCTCATCAACACAAAGCAAATACAAGTGAAGCAAACCAGCTAGAGAGCCTTAACCATAACTAGAGTTTCATCAGCATACGCAAAAACATGGCATCATACAAGCTCGTTCTCATCGCTTTCTTAGTGAGTCTCTCTACATCTAGTATGATCAACACTTGTTCAGCCTCACGGCGCCTTCTCCAGCAACAGCAACAACCTCTTCCTCAAATTCCTAACCTGCCTATCCCGACAATGGGACTACCTCCAATGCCATCAACGTTGCCACAACCATCTCTACCAACTCTTCCCACAATGCCCACTGCAATGCCTCCGTTTCCAATGCCATCAACTTTGCCACAACCAACTCTTCCCACAATACCCACTGCAATGCCTCCAATGCCAACGTTGCCTTCGTTTCCGACAGTGTTTCCTTCACTTCCGACTAATCTCCCATCCATTCCGTTCTTCTCTCTTCCACCTTCTACATCTACTCCTTGAAGTATCACGTCATGTGTGACTAATGTATCTTTTATTATATTATAGTTGTAATCAGTTGTTTTCATTGTGCTACGTACGTGTTTTGGTTTGGTTATTTACGCATATATACCTCCGTTACATGATTTGTACCTTTAAATTCCTTTTGATTATTTTCATTATGCTGTATTTTATTTTACATTTGTTTGTGCTTGTGAAAGTGCCTACTTGGCTCTTTACTCATATAGTAATTAATACATTAAAAAATAAAAAAAGGTTGTCACGTTTGTGCTATTATATATTTAAAAGTTGTTATAACTTATAAGTACATATTTATGTAAAAGTGGTCACATTTCTAATCTTGTAGAAAATAAAACAAGAAGCATGTGTTGGTCGATGCTAAAAAATTGCCTCAAATGTGGACGCAGATTTGATAACGTTCGTTTTTCAAACATGCAATACATCAACTTCTTTGGCAAATAAAGTTAGCTTTGCTTTCCCTCTCACGAGTTTCATTTCACCCATGATCATCTGATAAAACCAAGCTCTTTCTTCACATTCTCTCTCAATTCGCTCTTACCCAATCACAAATATGACTAAACGCAGCGTTTCAAGGAGGCTAGTTATTTGCCTAGCCTCCCCTAAGTTCTCCTTGAACGTCTTGTGCCTTGTCGTCACAGTTTTTGTTCTTCTCCAAATATGGTCATTCCACATTACCCAACAACCCATTTTACTCCCTCATTCGCTATTCACATATCTGAAACAACAACAAGAAGAACCTGAACGAATATCTGAGACTGAGACGGCTTGTTTGGTGGAGAAACTACGTGAGTCCGTAACATTCCTTCCCATTAAAGACCTTCGTTTTTCAAACAAACCGCTCGTAGGTCATACATGGTTTATGAGCTCTCTCTACGATAACCAAACCCAAGGTGAGGTTCAATACCAAGAATTTCCTTCAGAATCTTCCAAAGGGAGGTTTTTGTGCTTAAAAGGGGTTGATGAGCATGATGGGTCATGGAACTACTATGCACTGGCTTGGCCTCAAGCTCTTCCCGTCAATGCAAGTCTCCAGAAGGGCTTGACCTTTGTTTCTTATAATCATTACGATTACGGTAACATGTGGCATGGACTGTCTGCCATGGTCCCCTTTATTGCTTGGAGCTTAAGAAACCAATGCGAAAAGCCTCAAAGATGGGTTTTATACCACTGGGGAGAGCTCAGGTTCGGGATGGGGAACTGGTTGAGCGAGATAATCACAGCTACTTACGGTCCGAAAACAGAATTTTTACGGTTTGCTGATGAGAATAAGCCGGTGTGCTTCGAGAAGGCAGTCGTTATGAGACACAATGAAGGTGGTATGTTAAGGGAGAGGAGAATGGAAGTATTTGATCTTATTAGATGCAAAGTGAGAAACTATTGTAACATAAGCTTATCCAAGACATCAAAACCGCGAATAGGTATGACAATGCTTATGAGAAGCGGACCAAGATCGTTCAAGAATGAGTCAGCCGTGATCGATGTCTTTAGGAGAGAGTGTAAAAGTGTAGAAGGGTGCGAATTGAAGGTTTCTTATTCAAATAATCTAACATTCTGTGAGCAAGTGGAGCTAATGAGTATGACAGATGTATTAGTATCGCCACATGGTGCACAACTTACAAATTTGGTTCTAATGGACAGAAATAGTAGCGTTATGGAGTTTTTTCCTAAAGGATGGCGTAAGCTTGCAGGAGTTGGTCAGCTTGTGTACCAATGGGGAGCTAGTTGGTCAGGAATGAGACACGAAGGCTCGTGGCATGACCCGGTTGGGGAAATATGTCAGTTCCCCGATACTGACAGACGATGCATGTCGGTCTACAAAAACGCTATGATTGGCTACAACGAGACTTATTTTGGAGAGTGGGCAAGAAGCGTTTTGGGTAAGTTTATAAGAGTGAAAGATGTTGTAGAACGCAACCAAGGTTATGGTGTGCTGGATGGATGTCGCTGTTAATAAAAAAAAATTAGGTAACCAAAAATAATCAGGTAACGCTCTCAGAAATATTTGATTATTCATAAAGATATAAAAAATCTATATCACATAATATGGATCTAGCACGAAAGCCAATAAATATAGTCGACGACCTTTACCACAGGAAACTAAACAAAGACCAGTTGCTTTATGTATACATCTAAGTCAGAGAGTAATTAAATTATCTTTGGGATTGGAAAAGACTTATCGTAGAATGTAAAGTGGACAATAAAAAAATTGTAAAACTAGGAGAGAAAAACGGAAAGCATGTGATGGTTAATTCCAAATCTTTCACGACTAATTAATGTATGGCGCTGTGCCTGTTAATAAGTTTTCTAGAAATCGTTGATTATATACTGTATGTTCCTGATCAACAAGTTTAATTCACTCATACTTCACAATGCCGACGACTAAAGCTAGTGTTTGGCGTAGGCTAGTCACTTGCTTATCTCCCCTTAAGTTCTACTTGAACGCCTTGTGCCTCGTTGTCACTATTTTTGTTCTTCTCCAAATCTGTTCATTCCAAATTACTCAACATTCCCTTTCCCTCCCTCCAGCACTCTTGACGTATCTGAAACACCAACCTGAGAAAATATCCGAGAACGAGACGGCCTACTTGGTTGAGAAGCTACGTGAATCGGTGACATTCCTGCCCCTCAAGGACTATCGTTTTTCGAACAAACCACTCGAAGGTCACACTTGGTTCATGAGCTCTCTCTATGATAACCAAACCAAAGGCGAGGCTCAGTATCAAGAATTTCCTTCAGATTCTTCGAAAGGTAGGCTTTTGTGCTTGAAAGGGGTTAATGAGCATGATGGTGCATGGAACTACTACGCGCTGGCGTGGCCTGAAGCTCTTCCGAGTAATGCTGTTCTTCACAAGGGCTTGACGTTTGTTTCTTATAATCAATACGATTACGGTAACTTGTGGCATGGACTAACGGCGGTTGTACCGTTTGTTGCTTGGAGCTTAAGAAACCAATGCGAAGGGCCTCAAAGATGGGTTTTATACCACTGGGGAGAGCTACGGTTTGGGATGGGGCATTGGTTGAGCGAGATAATCACGGCCACTTACGGTCAAGAACCGGATTTCTTACGGTTTGTTGATGAGGACAAGCCGGTTTGCTTCGAGAAGGCGGTTGTCATGAGACACAATGAAGGTGGGATGTCAAGGGAGAGAAGGATGGAAGCTTTTGATCTCATTAGATGCAAAGCCAGGAACTACTGTAATATCAGCTCATCCCAGACATCCAAACCGAAAATCGGTATGACATTGCTATTGAGAACCGGAGCCAGATCTTTCAGAAATGAGTCATTGGTGATTGATGTCTTTAAGAGAGAGTGTGAGAGAGTAGAGGGTTGTGAAATTAATGTTTCATACTCGAATAATCTAACATTTTGTGAGCAAGTGGAGCTAATGAAGAAGACCGATGTGTTAGTATCACCACACGGTGCACAACTCACTAACTTGTTTCTTATGGATAAAAATAGTAGTGTGATGGAGTTTTTCCCCAAAGGATGGCTTAAGCTTGCGGGAGTTGGCCAGCTTGTGTACAAATGGGGAGCTAATTGGTCAGGGATGAGACACGAAGGCTCGTGGCATGACCCGGTTGGCGAAATATGTCAGTTCCCTGATACGGATAGGCGATGTATGTCGATCTATAAGAACGCTATGATCGGATACAATGAGACTTATTTTGGCGAGTGGGCAAGAAGAGTTTTGGGGAAGTTTAGCATAAGACCATCATCAACGCTGATATCTTAGCTGTATCTTAGAGCAATTAGGATTTAAATAAAATGCAAAATGTAATTAAAAGAGTAAGGTACGTATGTTATATAAGATAGAAAAACATGGCTAAGAGACGTCGACGTAGTGATTTGTTATTGGGTGTTCAGAGAAATATATATGGGAAAAAATATTTTGTTTTTATTTTTCTTTCTTCTTTCTCTCTCTCTTTCTCTCGCGAAAACAACGATTTCGTCGATTCAGAGGTATGTCGGAGGTATCAGCTGCCGGTCGTCGATCAACAGTTAGCTCATCATTTTCACCGGCTCCGGCTGTTTACGAAATCTACGGTTTACCAAATCGGCGAGGTTTGGGAAATTAGGGTTCGAGATTTGGGGATTAGATCATTTGGTTTGTAGTTTTTGATTCATGTTCGTTTGGTTTAGGTTTGGTTCATTTGTCAAATTTGGTGTTTGATTAGATTCAAGCTCCTTTGGTTCTTTTTTCCAATTTAGAGTTGGATTCTAAGATAAACTTGGATTAAGCTTAGATTCAAGCTCTTTTGTTTTTGATCGAGCTCGTTTTTGGTTGTCGATTACTTGTTGAAGCTGAAATTAATTTGAGATAGTCGAATCTGTTTCTAGTTTTTGGATTGGAATTTGTTTCTATTTTTGGTTCATCAAAGATTCAGACCTGTGATTTCAATCGTTAGGAGATGATTTAGAACGATTACGCTCTTTGATTCATGTTCGTTTTGTTTAGGTTTGGTTCATTTAACAAATTTAGTGTTTGATTAGGTGTTTACATATGATTTCGTCTGTTTTTTTTATCAAGCTTCTGGTTTTGAGGTTTTTATGTTTTAATCCTAAGATCCACTCCTTAAGAACCCACCAATAATCCTGCATAAAAACATACAAATTTAATTACACTTCTTAACATCACTTTTTCGATTAAACTACTAAACAAATCATAAGATTAATTTTTAAGAATTGCCCATTGATGATGCTCTAAGAGGTATGAAAGAGATTGATGAGTGCAACCACGGTAATAGTTCATTAGATGTATGTTATTGATCGATCTTGATGAGAAACTTGTTGACTTGTGGAGTCCAATCTTTTTGTTGATGGTGAAGATAGTAAATGTAAACCATATTAATCGTGTGTGTATTTATTCTCTGCATTTTGGATGCAAATCATATATATAAAAGTAAGGTTTCACTCTCTCCTTATTGGTGGAAAAATATTTAAGACTTTAATTTTCTTTTAAAAAATAAATAAATAAATCTTTATGACAATCAATCAATACAAAATTTAATTACACTATAAGTTATAATCAAATGGCAAAGAAAATGAAAGGACTTAATCATATATAATTCAACAAAATAAATAAATAAATTAATGTTTATGACAATCATTCAATACAAAATTTAATTACACTATAAGTTATGATCAAATGGCAAAGAAAATGAAAGGACTTAATCATATATTATTCAACAAAATAAATAAATAAATAAATGTTTATGACAATCATTCAATACAAAATTTAATTACACTATAAGTTATAATCAAATGGCAAATAAAATGAAATGACTTAATCATATATCACACAACAAATTTTATAAGGCTTACTCACTTCCTTTTTTCTTTGTGAGTTTCGAGAATTTGGTGGAAAATTATTTAAAATCATATATATAAAAGTAAGGTTTCACTCTCTTTATTGTTCCATTTTGTATTTATTTTTAAAATATAATATTTATTTTTAATTAAACCAAAAAACATATTTAATCATATACATTAATTCATACTTTAAATTCACACTTTACTACTAAAATGAAACTGAAAATTATATAAATTTCCAAAGAATATTGGTTTTCTTTATTGAATTCCAATTAAACACACTATAAATTATAATTATAACTCCTCTAATTTAATTATTTTAAAAATGTAACTTACATCACTTCTTATCATATAAATAGCCATTCTCATATCATTATCTACCATATCCCATATCTTCATTATTCTCTTTGTTTTTTTTTTAAACTTCTTGCATGGGGTGAAAACTCATTTAAAATATCATTGTAAGAGTTTGATTAATGATTTAGTTTAAACATTTGTTTTCAATTTTATTTTTATTTTTTGTTTTTATGTATTTCTTTATGTCTTCATTGTTTTTTTATATTTTTAAATGTAATACATATGTATAATAATATTTTATGGTTATAAGAAAATCAAGCTAAAGAAACCATCTTCATTATTTTACATTGGATGTTTGTTTCTTTCTCACATATTTATGTATATTTATTTTAATTTCAAAAGTATGTAATTATTTAACAAAATAAACTTTTTGTTATATAATTATCAAACCAATTTGTAAGACATTCTTTTAAGAATAAAGATCCTTATATTTAGTTTGTGATTCAACATGTAATAATATAAACAACATTATAATTTTTGTTAACTTTGAATTTTATACTTGATTTCCTGTATTAAATACAATTTGATATTCAATTTTATACCTATTATATATACTACAACGATGAAAAATATAATTAAACCTAGAGATATAGCTTAAATTAAGAGGAATATAAAAACAAATATAAAAAATAAAATTATTCGTTGGGAATTTTTTAAGGTTTATCCTTATTGGTCCATTTAGCATTTAGTTTTCAATTGTAATATTTATTTTTAATTAAACCAAATATCTAACACATTTAGTCATATACTTTAATTCATACTTGAAATCCACGATTTACTATTAAATTGTAACTTAAATTATATAACCTTTCAATTGACTATTTGTTTGCTCCATTCAATTTCAATTAACACACTATAAAATATAATTATAACTCCTCTAATTTAATTATTTTAGAATTATAACTTACATCATTATCCTATAAATACTCATTTTTACATCCTCCTCCACCATATCTGATATTCTCAATATTTTCTTTGTTTAATTTTTAATGTTCTTGCATGGGTTGAAAACTCAAATTAAGATATCATTGTAAGAGCTTGATTATATATTTGGTTAAACCTTTTGTTTTCAATTATATTTCTTCTTTATTTTATGTACTTCTTCATTTTTTCATTGTTTTTATACTATTAAATATATAATACATATGTATAATGATATTTTATGGCTATAAGGAAATTATTTTATCGATGAGATTCAAAAATATTGATTTCTGACCATCGCACCATAAGAGAATCAAGCTAAATAAACCATCTTCATTGTTTTACTTTATATGTGTTTTTCTTTCTCACAAATTCATGTATATTTATTTTATTTTCAAAGTATGTAATTATTTTAACAAAATAATTTTTGGTTATATTCAAACCAATTTGTAAGACATTGAAATAAATAAAATTTTATACACAAATAAAGGTAATTTGTGTGTATATTTATAAGTTTACACACACATATATGGATAAATTTTAACATTTTTAGTGGTTGTTTTGATAAAGTTTGAAAATGGGGTAAATTTAAAAAGTGGTATTTTTAAAAGGGTATTTTTAAATTCTCCCAATATCATTCCTATTTTTATCATTAACAATATTATTGTTTTATCAAAAAATACTTAAAATCACTAAAGAAAATTACTATCAAAATTGAACAATTAATCGACGAATAAATTCAAAAAATATGGATGTATGCTTCTATTGTATGATTTAAATAAATAAAATGTAAAAATGTCATAAACATTAAAATTTATTTAATCTATTTTTATAAGTAATAAATAAATTAAAATAATTAAATAAATATACAACAACCCGCGCATGTGCGCGGGACATTACCTAGTACTAACAAAACTAGACAATTTGATGAGGTTTTGTTAATACAAAAAACACATATATTCAAAGTAATAGCAACAAAAAGGGTAACAATAATAACTGTTCCTATTCTTGATAATGAAACCATCAGGTAAATCTATAAAAAGAAAACTCAGTCAAATGATATTCAAATTGTACTCGTTATCTCTGTTGAGTTTGCTCCTATATATAAACCCAAATCCATTAGAGAACGAAAAAATCAGATAAAAAAATACACATCAACTAATTGAGGAGCTCTTTTAAACACTATGGCCTCATCTAAAATCTTCCTAGTTGTTTCTCTCCTCATGGCTCTGATGTTCACCTCCATGACCACTTCAAGCCGCGCTGCAAAACAACTTGCAAAGAAACAAACTTTAAAACCAAAATTTTTTAGACCTCATTTCCCTCGGTTTCCGACACCTGGCTTTCCGAGCAATCCAACACCCGGTTTGCCATCAAATCCCATGCCTTTTCCTCAATTCCCTCACCCCGGTTTTCCGAGCAATCCGACACCCGGTTTTCCTCAATTCCCGGGACAAGGTTTCCCCAAACTTCCCTCTCCTTTCCCTCAATTTCCAAACCCTGGTTTTCCGAGGAATCCAACACCCGGTTTTCCTCAATTTCCAGGCCAAGGTTTTCCCAAATTCCCCTCTCCTTTCCCTCAATTTCCAAAACCTGCAATGCCTGGATTACCAGTTCCATCCCTCTCTGCTCCTCCCTCTCTTTCTGCAACCCCAACTTCCAGCCGTTGAGTTGTTTCCTCAGAACTTAAAACTCTTTGTTTCAATGTATTGATAAGCTCAGTGGCTATGGATTGATGAGTATTGACTGTAATACTATTCAGTTTTCTAATCTGTAACTATCTAGTATCTATAATATCTGAATGTAATTCATCAATGTATTATTGCAAAGTACATCAAATATATCTTATATTGCACAAATGAGGAATCTAAACGAAATCACTGATGAAACAACTGACAATAAAAACAAACTTAAGTCCCTGAAGGGTCTCCCAAGTTTTAGCCTCAATAAGACAGAAGTCACAGAACTAGGAAAAGACTTCAACACACAAGTGGAACAAACACATGATAATCCCTTTTCAAAGGGGTCTAATGTTTCTATATATTATGAAAAAAAAAAAACTCTATGAAGATTGAGATAGTGGTTTTTCAGCACCAAAATGACCGGTCTTTAACAGCAATTCCACTGCTCTCCTTCTTACCTCTGCTTGCTCCATAATCGACCGTCCATTTCTCGAAAGTACAATCAATAAAATTATAGTATCCGCCATGGAGAGACAGTGATCCGTTCCGCACTTTCTCTTCTATCCACGGGTAACCAAGCAGCCTTTCTAATGAATGATTTATCGACGTCTGCAGGTTTATAGTATATATAATAAGTCCACTGATTTACAGAAGATATAAGTTCCCCTTATTTCCCAGAAAACATCACCTTTTCACAATGTTGGCACTGGTGATCAAAATGGAGGTTTGAAGCAACAGCTTTTGTGCTTTCCTTTGCCTTCTTCCCAACAACTACCCAGTTGTGTATGAAACTTCTGTTAAAAGGAAGATGCAATATGGTAAATATCAACAACTACGAATATTTCAATAGACTGAATCAAGAACTGGTAAAAAACCTGGAATCTCCTTCGTCTTCCATTTTCATTAGAGCTTGAATTCCTCCACAGCGGCTATGACCAATGACTAAGATGTTCTCCACCTACAAATTTATCAATGAGACAATAATTATAATGAATGTATTTACAAAAACGTAGCTACACATTGTGTATATGTTGCCTTACAGTTTGAGTTTAAGTGAAAAGAACAAACTCTTTAGAAAGCTAATTTCATCATAGAAACAGAACCCTGAACAGTCTAAACCATGGAAAAATGCTCTACATAGAACTTGAAACACTGTAAGAGATAAGATAGATACTTACATTAAGAGTATTCACAGAGAACTGGAGAGCAGCTTTGGTTTCAGTAGGTCCAGACTTCACGCAACAAAAAAATGGTACTATATCAAAAGATGAAGCAGGCTATAAAACAAAAAATGGAAATCTTCACTAAATTGTATTACCTCATATGGAGGTACTAAATTTGCAATGTTACGAACAGTGAATGCGTCACCCGGTTGCAATCCCAGGATGGCAGAAGGACAAACCCTAGAGTCTGCACAAGCAATCACCAGAAACTGTTGCTTAAAACTGTTAGCAGCAATTCCTTTCCCCAGACAACATAAGATATCTCACAAGCATTTGTAAAGTGAAAAAGCTACCTTTGGAGCTTGAGCTTCTGCCAAATTTTTGTAGTGTTCTAAGTTATCCCTGCTCAAGAGTATATCATCAGGGCGAGGTAAAAGAAAAGTAAATAAATAATACATAAACCATTGAAAAAGCAAAAAAAAAACTTAGTAAACTGGTACTCTGCCACTTACATGTACTTAAGCTTCTTGAAGGTAAGGAAGCGCTGTTTCATGTCGTCAAATACGTCAGTGTTATTTTCTCTATCAATTGCAACCCCATTAGCTTCATGAGTCAGTCCAGGTGTGTTGCCTGACGCCATCAGTCGCAAGTTGGCAGATTTTACTCTGCAAACACCACAAAAGTAAAAAACTAAATCAGATCATTTGAATATTAGAAAACAACTCCACTGAGATTTTTTTGCCATTTGAAGCATAAAAAACACAAACTACTATAAAGATATAAAATATACATAAGCTGTACTAACGAAAGGGGTCCCTAACAAAGTACAACACCATGTGAGTCCTCTCTTAGATGCTTATTACGTATTGTCAACACTTAATGAAAATCAGATAGAGCAGCAATCCCAAATCAGAAAAAGGCCAGAAATTACCTGAAAGAAGCTGGAATTCTGAGCTGGGTTTTCAAATATTCCTTTGAATTGTGCTTGGAACCGAAGATCTGAAACAAAATGCAAATAGGATTAAACAGATATTGAATGAAACAGTGAGAGAGAGAGAGAGAGAATTGAGAAACATACCGCTTGAGATTGCAGATGAAAGAGAGACGTGGAAGAAGGAGAAGGATCAAGGGAGAGAGACAAATGTGAGGGAGAGGCTGCCATGAAAGAGGTGTAGAGAGAGTAAAGTTGGGTATTATCGAATCTGGATCAACAAAGCACAAGGCATCTGAAAGAGCATTCCTATGACAATAAACAAGAGAAGGGCTTTCAAGAAAACTAAATTAAATAATTTGATTTATTTTTATTTTATATTTTGGGTAAGAAGTGGATGTGAATGCATTTCTCCAACAAAGACGGAGAAACCAAAGTTTTTGTGTCGTGCCAGCTTTTGACCCCACCCTCACCAAAGTAGCTTACCATAATTAAGCTTTACTAATGCAGAAAAAAACTTAAACTCTTTGACTTTGGATGGATTTTAAGGGTTTAACATGATTCATTTCAGGGAAATTTGCTACAATTAAGTTTATAGTAACTAGCTAAGCTATTGTTTTCAGCAAATGACAGCAAAAAAAAAAAATCTAAATATCACCAAGACTTAAACATGTACTTAAGTATTTTTGTAAAGCATCTACACTTCCAAGATTTGCACGACAACTAGAAAAAAAAAAAAACCTTTTTGTTAAATTGAATGTTAATACATACCCAAACACAAATCTGACCTTAGTCAACAACAAAAAAGGAAACTAAAAAAGGAAAGAAAATTTCACCTACCCATTTTATAGATGACGTCATCTCAGTTTAACAGTTCTATTAAATCTAGTTTCTCTATCGTGTCGTTTTCTCTATGAAAAAACAGCGTGAAGTTTATTTGAAGGAGAATTAAACAGCATGATTTGTGTAAGCAGATGACCAAAAAAAATGATAATCCCCAATTTCAAACAAACCCTAATTTCTAAAATCAAACATCATCAACCAGTGGGAGTGGATAAAGATCGATAGACATGCAATGTGGCTCCGATCAATCATCTCGACAACGATATAACTTCTACTGTATGTATATCGCATAACATCAAACCAACCACAATCATAGCACCAATCCAAATCATCATTCATTCATTTGCATAAGTTCCACTAACAGCGACCCTAACGCCAAGCCGTAAAACTTAAACTCAAATTCTGAATTCAGGCAAAAATCTAACCTAAATCGGTAAAGATGATGACTTCTCCTTGAAGAAATACATTTGGTAAATGTTCTCTCGTTGAAAAAGATACGAAGAAGAGTTGTCTTGTCTGGGAGAAGACACTAAAAAATGAAGAAGAAGAAGACTTCTACTGTCTTTTCTTCCTTGCTCTTAATGAAACGCAGCGTTTGGAACTTAAAACGATAAGAAGAGTTCAACAAATCCAGTAATCCACTTTAAATAAATGTAAAATCCCATTCACATAAGACACAGTTATCTGAAATTAATTAAAATCCAGATATGATAACCCAAAAAACAAGTATAATGAAACTTTGGTGTATCGTATACTTATCAACATAATCCAAAATTCCAAGAGTATCTAAAGCAGAGTATGAGAAGAAGCTGCAGATCTAACTCTTTTGACTTTACAAAGAGTAGTAGCAGCTCTGATAAACAAAATCGTATATCATCACCTTGGGTTATACATACAATCTATTATCTCTTTTAAGGGTTTGATTTGGATTTTCTTCCCCAAGAAACTTACTTGATGGACTTGTTGTTTTATTTCATATAGCAATGAACATCTCTTGTTTTTCTTACTACTTTCCACTGTAAGAGATAGATCTCTTCAAGAAACTTGACCTCCCAACAACAATAGATGATCCAATATTGCCTCTTTTCAACTTCTCCTTTTCTCTACCGACAACAAGTTCACTTATCCTTAAACCAGATAACGAATCCAACGACACTGATCGTCTCACTCGCTGCGGCGATGATTCACCATGATGATCTCTACTAACAATATTACTAACAAACCCATCTCTTTCTTCCTCGATTTCTTCATCGATATCATCATCATCTCCACTTTCTTCCGGAATCATCACACCGATCTCCTCTTGACCCTCACTACTACCATCATCAATCATCATCGTGTTAGCCACGACGATAGGAGCACGACAGAGAGGGCAATTGGTGTGTGATCTAAGCCAAGTATCAATACAAGAAAGATGAAAAGCGTGTCTACACTTTGGTAACAATCTAAGCGTCTCTTCTTCTTCGAATTCGCTTAAACATACGGAACAATCAGTTCCTTCCACAACACCATCTTTTTTACTATACTGGCACACTTTGATCGAACTGATAACCGTTGGATTCAAGCCGATGGTTCTGATATGCCAAATCGGATGGTCGACGATAACCGGTGACGGTCCATCAAAATCCCAGTTCCTAGCCTCTTCCATGCTCCATCTTCTTGATATTGTCAATGATCTTCTCCTATAGTAAAACTTGAAGCAGAGGACAAGTAAAGTAAGGAGAAACAGAGTTGTGATGATAGATGAAGCCGCGATGATCAAGATCCTCTTAAGGTTATCGTCGTGGTGGAGCGCTGCAGGCGGAGAAAGACCTGGAACTACGACGATCTGGCATATGGAAGGACACTCGTCAAGACAATCGGATGAACAGTAGCCTATACTTTTCAACTTCTCGATGCATTTGTATTTACAGTAAGAGTCCGATAAGGTTTCGTTATCCTCCAAGAGAAATCTGTGAAGGAATCTCCTCATGATTCTTGCTTCAAGATCATCAATCAACAAGCTCTATAGAGAGAGAGAGAAAGATTGGAGAGGAAAAGAAGAAAAAACAGAGAAAAGAAGATGAGAGAGTCGTCTTCATCTTTGTTATCTATTTTGCTTTCTTTCTTTTAGAACCAAGTTTTGGTCAACAAAAGTAGGTTGACGGTATCTATCATCTTAATTCACCCATAATAATCGTTTTCTAAAAGGAAAAATGTTACAATATTTGAAAGTATAAATTTAATACAGGAAACAATAAAATATGAAATTTCTTCATATGATTAAATTTTGATGCTAGAAATATTAATGGTTAAATATGTTTTGATAAAAAGAAGAATAATATGTATGTAGTACTACGCTCACGAAGTCGGTCTAATATTAAATTATATTGATTAGGTTTAACTTGGGTTTAGGAGTAGTTGCTGACTTATCGGGCGTGGTGTGTGGTGGTGGTGGTAATATAATGAGGCTTACCTTTATTTAAAAGTTGGCAAAGTGTTTTTGACCATAAATGGGTTAATTTAAGTGAACAACAGTGATATGTATGTATGTGGGCATTATTCTCTCAGCTTGTCCCACCTCACGAGTCACAACAAATTGCTTGCGTCCACTGCCTAGACGACGTTGGACATCTGATTTTTCTGATGTGTATATGTGTGTGATGTGTGGACTTTATTGTGCCAAGATCCTTCTCGGTATAGTTAAACCGGCTTCACCTTTCCGGTTTTTTTTTGATTTATTAGCTAGATTTATTTTATTTCAAAATTGATTTAAGGATTGTTTAAGCTGGAACAATGGTTCCAAGTAGGCAAGTACAATTAACATATGGTGGACCTGATGATGTGGTAACACAAATGACAAAACAAGTCGTCATAGACGCACATTCTGATTTACCTACGTACACCTAGTGATCTAGAATCTAACGGTTGTTGGACCAAAGCAGCTAAGCCCCATTGCTTTCTCAAAGGATTTCTCAAAGGGTGTGGTGGTCATGGGTTTGGAGGATCTCATGACATCAGCTGAAGATGAAGACGGAGGAGGAGGAGAGGGACGAGATGGAACTGTGATGGTACGGACGCGAGCCATTGCTTCTTTGTGGAGTAAACGAAGAGGGTAGTTCCACCGAGCAACGCCTTGGTCCTTTAGCACTTCCACCGCCGCGATAGCCGTCGCCACCGCCCACGAAGCTTGCTTTCCGGCATTCATCTTTGTTTCTTTTCAAAAAAACCTCTTTAACAATGTGTGAGTTTTTAATCTTTGGATCTAGCCTACGTGTTTGGAGTTGCGTGGGTTTATAAAGGTGAGTCGAGAAAGTGGTACAGAACGAAAACAAGAGGCTAAAGAGAAGCCGCAGGTATTGTAAATTTGGGGCTCTCGTGGTTTTGGTAACTTTCCGCGTGAGGAACAATGTTGTACGTTTTTTACCAAAAAAAAAAAAAAAACAATGTTGTACGTGGGTTTTATTTTCCCATTACTTTTTTTTTTGTGTGGAAATTTGTTTTTATTTTATTTTAATTTACTTATTTTTACTTATTTTTGTCTTAGTTTAATTATTTTATATTTTTATTTGTTATTACTCAGTACTTCACTAGTTCAGATTTTTTTTTTCGGTGTTCCTAAAATAAAAATAGTCATAAACACACTATCATTTGATTTTTATTACTCGCAAACTACTACCGTCTCATTATATTCCAACCATCACCTACATTTTGATTTTACATAAAACTTATTACATATAAAAGACCCAAAACCCTCACATCATCATTATTCAGACACTATTTTATGGCAATTCAAATCCTGTTGGTGGCTTTCCTCTCTTTACGCCTTCAGAATGGTGTAACCTATATAACAGATTAAAGCCAAGTTATGACATATGCTTAATAAATACTAAAATACAATATCAAGAAACAAAATAAAAATACTACTTACTTCCACATTTGTAACCGGAGGGGATCTTCTTGCCGCAAGAACGAGCAACGTAAACCACTTTGTCCATATCAATATAGTTGGTAACATCCCTTGAAACGTAGCGGCATGCACAAGGTACGTCGATGGGACGGATTAGAGCGCAGCACGACCGAGACGGTGGTCCGGCGTTGCTGATGTAACGTTGACACTCATTCATCAGTCCCGACAAGTTAGCTCCACAGACCTGAGCTGTTGCCACGTGGAAATTTTCGGAGCCTATCATGAAAAAAGCTACTGCTAAGATAACCACTGTCCTCATCACTCCACCACCTCCCATCTCTTTTGTTTTTGTCTTTTGTCAACGGGTTTGAAATCTATGATGTGAATATATATTTGGTCAGACGATGGATTTGTATATATATAGGCATAATGTTAATGACATGCTTATTTATTATAGTAACAATTTTGTAGTGGGAAGCAACAAGGGGAGGGAGGGAGTGCTCTATATTACTAGTATTTGTTATCTTTGTAGGTGGGGAATGTTTCGTGGCAGTTTCTGAGTGAAGCTCCACTTAGTTAGTGGAGTGGTTGAAAATAGATTTGTGACTGATTCAATGAAATTTATTTTTGTCTCTGAATGAGCGTTGTTAATTAAAAGATGCCACTTATAAATGTTAAATTTTGGTGACATTGGTTTCCGATCACTAATCTACTGCTAAATTTGTGAATATCATCAGTGCATTTTCTTTTTACATTTATTTATCTAACGTTCCCGACGTGTGTGATGTTCCCGAGTATTTGTGCTATTTAAGACATTGATTTCCATAAATATTCAATCACTGGACCACCATGAGTTTGATGTGTTAGAAAACTTTCAAAATGAAGTGGTCTATGATCTCTGAGCAGAATGTGAGGTTGATCTAACGAATCAATTTGAAATAGCCATGGACAATTTAGCTGAAATACAATAGTGAATCTAAACAGTTACATTAGGATTTTTAGGAAAGAGTCTTTTTTACTCGCGATCTTTGTTTCACTTTGATAAGCGTCTAAGCATTATAAATTATTATGTTACATAGAAATACATTATCCCGCGTGGGATTATCTCTAATGTGTGTACCCGCCAGGTTCAAGTCAAACAAACCATCTTAAGATACATTCGGTCTGGTTTAGTTTGGTTCACAGGTTTAGAAACAACCAGCATACAAAAGTTTGTCTTAAGCTTCCCCGGATTTGCTAAAAGAAACAAGTTGTTTCTCCCTGTGCTTCTGAACAAGTGCTTCCAGATTCTTCGCCTTCTCTTCTCCATCTTTGAAATGTACTCTTCTTCCATGTCCTGGTTTACAAAACCGCCATCAGAATCCAAAATCACCATTTAAGTAAAGCATAAGTAGGCATATACAGTATAGAAAAAGTGCACTAACCCGGTATAAGCCAATTGAAATCCAGGTTGATCAACTTTTCTACGTTCTCGAGCTGGAGAGGCACTGCCACAGACACCCCAACATTTACGTATATCTTTCTATGCTCTTGAATGAGATATTCGAAAACATTCAATCCAAAGACATTTCAACAGATAAGTCTTTACCTGAACCGTGATTGTACTGCTCTAAAATGCTCAATCCAGATTCGGTCATTATTACATGGTCTCCAGTGAATAATGCCTTGAGGGGCCTATGGAACAGGCACACTGATCCCTGCAATTTATTTTGTACTAGGCTCTTATCACAAGATCATAACGAAATTCTTTCTAACCAAAAATGGTTTATATGTTCTTGCAGTTGGACAAACTTACTTCTGAATGACCAGGAGTGTGTATAAGCTCGACATCTTCATAGATGCTCCATGGTCCACTTCCTTCCAGCTTTAACTCCACATCAGAGGTCGAAGGTTCAACCTAACAAAGTAATAATCCCTAAATAGTCAATTAAAGCTAGTTGAGTAACAAATTATTTTCCTAGCTAGTTTGTGTTTGACTTTTATCCAACCTCAGAATCCTTTTCTGTTTTCTACAGTGCATATAATCAAAAATCTAAGATCTTTGTAACTCAGCAAGCTTTTTGTCAAAAAATCTACATGTTGAAAAACAATCGAGAATGTGCAGAGAATTTAGTAAAGACTAAAGAGATGCGATAAAATTCAAATACTTACATCTTCAGAATGCAGAATTCTGGTAGACTTGAATCGATCTGCCCATTTCTTGTGATCTGCAACATCATCCCTGAACAATGAAACAGCTTATCCCTGTTACAGTAATAATAAGAGAGAAAACAAGGAGTTTCTCCTTTTGGTGTTATCAACTCTACCTGTGTGTCAAAAACATGTAGCGTACACCACCCATCATCTCAATCTTTCGAGCAAGTTTCTCCATGTACCTAGGACTGCAGCAAACAACAAAACCTTGGTTTATCAGTTGTGTCGAGTTAATTGCCATACCAAAGTATATCAAGTATAAGCTGCTAAACAAAAAAGAATATAAGAATTCATGATACGTCATACCTATCAACAAGTATATTTCCCTCACGATGAAGAATTAAGTAGGAAGTTGCTCCATAGGACTTCTTGGAATGAAACCCACAATGAAAAACACCCTGAGCATAATACAAAGCTCAAAATTTATAACCTCAGCGAAAGCAGGAAGCCAAACAAAGAAATCTTATTTGTCGTGGAGCTCTATCCGTTAAAAACTGAAAGACAACTAAATCTACAGCTATTCAAAACATGAAGACAACATTTCAAATATTTTCGAGGCATGCTTAGTACAACTATCTAAACATTGTTACTTTCCTAAAAGATGAAAGCTTAGCGGATGAGAAGCTTACAGGGAGTGTGTCTTTGTCCACTGCAAGTGGAAAGCTATCTTGAGCTTCCCCTATGTCAGTAGGTGGAGTTTCAGTGCGTATAGAGCCCGTGGGACAAGATAATAAGGCCTGAAAGAAACAAGAAACAAGGGGTAACTAGGACAACCTCCCATAATTTTTTCGTGAATCATCTAAAGAGGGAAATTTTTGTCTATCATAAGGAATTTCTCAGTCTGAACTTCTATACAAACATATCCACAGACAAGGACCTAAAGGTACCCAAAACGCTATCAAAAATAAAATATTAAAAAACATCTCAGTGTGTGTTTCAGACATTCAACAGAAGGAAAAAGAAATCAAGGTTGCTACGACACCTGAAGAGCATTCAGCCTTTCCTCCTTACAGGTTGGTTGTTTAATAACCGCAGACATGTTGTCCTTTCGGGTGAATACTTCCTGTGAAGATAAAGCAGAAAAGACGGTTTAAGAATTGGCTAAACAAATGTAAAGCGAAATTAAATTTCTCCTCTAACAGCTGCTTTATTTAGCTTGCCAACAAACAACTAGTACATGAATATTCTAATGTCGTCTTCTATTGTAATGACTTTGATCATATCACACTATCTTCGAGATGTTATTCACAGCTTCTATTGAAAACATGCCAATTCAAAAAGCTAAACAAAATCCAGAGTTAGTTTATCATTCTTCGAGATCAAGACTAAGACATCGACTTCCCAGTACCCAAATTGAACACCCACAACTACTTTACCCTACCAAATGCTTAAAACAATGGAACTGTTCCTCTATTTCATAGGACCACCCAAAGGACCCACAAGACAGGAGGCAGAACAGAAAAATATTTGAAGCTTCATAGATTTCAGAGCAGAAAAGCTTACCGGAACCATCCAACGACATGTATCACAATCAATACAAGTGTTGTCTGCAAAAAATCCATTGAGGGAGAGAGAGAGGGCGTTATTGATCTCTCTCAGTTTTCGATCAGCTATAAAACTAAAAAAAATATATATATATATATACTTTATATACCAACAAATATATCGCCTTCGACATTCTGAGTGCGTCGTCTAGAGTTCTCATGACTTGTCACTTGAGCTGCTTTAATAGATCCAGATACTCTCCTTCCTGTTAAAGCCGTCGAGCTAAAAGAGGAAACTTTTGATGTAAAGATCGGTTCTTTTGAACGGAATTGATAAGAGAGCGACGCAAATGCAGAGGAAGAAGCTGAAGCCATGACTGGGTCTGGGTGATTGATTCTCGTCTCTTCTCTTCTCTTTGTGACTTCTGATGAGTGTGTAGCACAGTCGCAGCAGAGTCGTACTCATCTTGAACTTCGCCTGTGTGAAATATATTTGACTATTAAAAAAAAAATATATATTTGACTAATCGAGGACCCGATTTAATCTATCGAGATCTGGTTTACTTATGGTTAAGCAAATATCCTTCGGTTAAACCGTTCAATATCGATTAGACACGTGTAAGCTTCTTTCTCAGTCGTGCCAGGTCCTTCATTGTAGATCATCTATCATCTCTCAATCCCAATTCTCAGAAACACCATTTTTCTAATCTTGTTTCCTTGGATCAGAGATACGAATCTGAATCACAGTCACGAGATCTTCAGTGTTTTCCGACGGTGATCGATGTTTCACGTGGAAGAAGAAAGCAGCGGAGGCGATGGGTCTGAGATTGATGAGGAGATAGCCGGAGACGATTCGACGACGTCATTGTCACGATGGGTGTTTGATGAGAAGGATGACTATGAGGTTAACGAAGATTACGACGATGATGGATACGACGACCATAATCACGCGGAAATGGATTCCGATGATGAGGATGACAATGTGGAGCAGCGTTTGATTCGAACTAGCCCTGCCGTTGACTCTTTCGATGTTGACGCACTTGAGATTCCTGGAACTCAGAAAAACGAAATCGAGGTTTACCATTTTATTCGAAATTTACCTTATCATTTGAGTGTGAATGTTGGTTATCTTCTTCTACATGTTGTTTACTTCTCGATCTGATTAAGTTGAGGAACTTGCTAATCTGTTTTTGTAGGAGTCTGGCATAGGAAAGAAACTCATACTTGCTTTGCAGACTCTAGGGGTTGTATTTGGTGATATCGGTACTAGTCCATTGTATACCTTCAGTGTCATGTTCAGAAGATCTCCAATTAACGACAAAGATGACATAATTGGAGCTTTGTCATTGGTGATATACACTTTAATATTGATCCCTCTTGTAAAGTATGTACATTTTGTTCTTTGGGCCAATGATGATGGTGAAGGTATTTCTCTTTCCCCTATCTGGTGTTAATTTTAAACTTCGGTAAAAAACCTTATGTTTTGGAAATGAACTGCAGGTGGTACTTTTGCTTTGTATTCGTTGATCTGTAGGCACGCAAATGTTAGCCTTATCCCAAATCAACTTCCATCAGATGCTCGCATATCAGGCTTTGGTTTGAAGGTTCCATCTTCAGAACTTGAAAGGTCCTTGATAATAAAAGAAAGACTGGAGGCGTCAATGGCCTTGAAAAAGCTTCTTCTTATTTTAGTTCTTGCCGGCACTGCTATGGTTATTGCCGATGCCGTTGTTACGCCTGCAATGTCAGGTACTAATATGCTGTCAGCTACATTGTTTGTTCATATGTCATATACCAATTATAGGGGAAAAGAAATGTGAGCATTACTATTGCATAAATAATCTGCAGTTAACTCTATCCTCTTTTTGGACACAGTAATGTCTGCTATAGGTGGTCTGAAGGTTGGAGTTGGTGCTATAGAACAAGGTAACTTGTAACTGTAGTTGACATTCATTAGCCTATTTATGGTCATGAGCATGATTTCTTCTAATTTTCACAAATCGTAAAACCTTCCTTGGATTTATGTATTCCTTGGACCAGACAATTCTATATGGGGTTTAATGGTTGCATCCTAGGTCTCTTGACTTCAGTTAGATTATAGATACAGCAAAGAAAAATGAAACAAGAGGATAAACTCTCCTTCCCCCTCAACTAATGATTCTATTAAGCTTTCAACAAACATAATCTTATCTTTATGAGCTATCGTGACCTATTTTTTTGTGAAAATATTCTAACTATGGCATCATTTGCAGATCAGGTGGTCGTGATATCAGTCAGCTTTCTTGTGATCTTGTTCAGTGTTCAAAAATATGGAACCAGCAAACTGGGGCTTGTTTTGGGTCCTGCTTTACTTCTGTGGTTTTTTTGTCTTGCTGGCATTGGAATTTACAACCTCATTAAATATGACAGCAGCGTTTTTAAAGCGTTTAATCCTGCATATATCTATTTCTTTTTCAAGAGAAACTCTGTAAATGCATGGTATGCACTTGGGGGTTGCGTTCTGTGTGCAACTGGTAAATCTCATATTCTGGGATATATTTTTAAAAGCTTAAATATACTGAATGACTTTTTGACTAAATTTCATTGCTCATTTTATACATGTGGATGTGGATCTCAGGATCGGAGGCCATGTTTGCAGATCTTAGCTATTTTACCGTTCACTCGGTCCAGGTAATTTAAGGAGATAGATACTGATTATTTCCCACTGCTCTTCTAATAGCTGTCTTTTCTAGAGTCATCTGAACTTTTGATTCAGTGGTAGTGTTTATCTGCAGCTTACTTTTATCCTTCTGGTGTTACCTTGCCTCTTGCTGGGTTATTTGGGTCAAGCTGCGTACCTTTCTGAAAACTTCAGCGATGCTGGGGATGCTTTCTTTTCGTCAGTTCCAAGTAAGATCCACTAGCTTCCACAGTACGTCAAGATCAACAAGGGTATTCCTTCATTTGCTGGCTTGATTTTACCTCTCACTTCACGTTTCTAACTGTTTGTTACTCTCTTTTTGTTTCAGGTTCTTTATTTTGGCCAGTCTTTCTCATTTCAAATATTGCTGCTTTAATTGCCAGTCGTGCTATGACAACAGCCACATTTACATGCATCAAACAATCAATAGCACTAGGCTGTTTCCCACGTCTTAAAATCATCCACACCTCAAAGAAATTCATTGGACAGATTTATATACCGGTTCTTAACTGGTTCCTTCTGGTGGTGTGTCTGACCGTTGTCTGCTCTACCTCAAACATTTTCGCGATTGGAAACGCGTATGGTAATGTTTTCTTCTCGTAGCATCTCGTTTGGGGAAAATATAAATATTTGGCTGAAACCCGTTTAGTCATTTCTAATTAGTTTTACCGAAAAAGTTACTGAAAGTTAAGTTCTGGTACATGGTGTATGATGTTTTTCTGTTATAAAGATAACTTTCTCTTTGCATTTTTTGTGTGTGGCTTGTCCATTAATCCTAGAGATATCAATGCTGTGGTTTTGGATTTGGATCTACAGGCATCGCAGAGCTAGGAATTATGATGACTACAACTATTTTGGTGACCCTTATCATGCTTCTTATCTGGCAGACGAACATCATAGTTGTGAGCTTGTTTGCATTTGTTTCCCTGGCAGTCGAATTGATTTTCTTCTCATCAGTTTGTTCAAGTGTGGCTGATGGAAGTTGGATAATCCTGGTTTTTGCTACAATCATGTTTCTCATAATGTTCGTTTGGAACTACGGGAGTAAACTGAAGTATGAAACTGAAGTCCAGAAAAAGCTACCAATGGACCTACTACGAGAACTGGGCAGTAACCTAGGGACGATTAGAGCACCCGGTATTGGTCTTCTTTATAATGAGCTAGCAAAAGGAGTTCCAGCAATTTTTGGTCATTTTCTAACCACCCTTCCTGCAATCCATTCCATGGTTATCTTTGTGTGTATAAAGTATGTCCCTGTTCCAAGTGTGCCTCAGACTGAGAGGTTTCTTTTCAGACGTGTCTGCCCAAGAAGTTACCATTTATTCCGCTGTGTTGCCAGGTAAACATAGCAACCGTTTTCAAATTGAAGACAATTTAGTTATTATAAATAAGTTTTCATATATAAAGTGCTGTGCGTTTACAACAGGTATGGATACAAAGATGTGCGGAAGGAAAATCACCAGGCCTTTGAGCAAATACTGATTGAGAGTCTAGAAAAATTTATTCGTAAGGAAGCACAAGAGCGTGCACTTGAGAGTGATGGAGACCATAATGATACAGATTCCGAGGATGATATGACTCTGTCCAGAGTTTTGATAGCACCCAATGGAAGTGTGTATTCACTTGGAGTGCCTCTCTTAGCTGAGCACATGGAATTATCAAACAAGCGACCTGTGGAAAGAAGAAGGGCCAGCATAGATTTTGGGGCAGGTCCTTCAACGGCGTTGGATGTGGAGCAGAGTCTAGAAAAGGAATTGTCGTTTATTCACAAAGCAAAAGAGTCAGGAGTTGTGTATCTACTGGGGCATGGGGACATAAGGGCTACTAAGGATTCTTGGTTTCTTAAGAAGCTGGTGATAAATTACATGTATGCTTTCTTGAGGAAGAACTGCAGGAGAGGGATAACAAACCTAAGCGTTCCGCATTCACATTTGATGCAAGTTGGAATGACTTATATGGTATGAACTGGACTGATCAAACTACTGGTTTTCATCTATGCTCAAGTTTCCTTAAATTGTCGAAGAACACGAAACACAAACCAAGTCCGGGGATAAAATTTTCTTCTAAACATTGTTCTGTAAGTGCGATTGGTTCTAAAGTATAGAAGAAACAAGATGAATTTTTGTATTGAGAGTTGATAATTGATTCTGTATTTGTTATTCTATTGATTGATTTGTTTTGGCTCGTCCCAGACTGAGTACTGTATTGGAATAAAAAAAAAAGGGACTTGCTCTGGCAATAAATTTTGCTATGTGACATGAATTTTGAATCTTTATTTCGTATGAGACAATCTTTATTTCGCTTCCGCACTATGATTTTTATACAAAATCAAATTCCAGAGTATCAAATGCCAAAGCAAATCAGAGTTTTGAATGTTATTGTGGCTAAATGTTAGAAGCTCGAGGAATTGCCTGAAAAATCAATCGAGATGATTCTCCAAAGTATCAATACCTAACAAACCCTCGCAAGAATAAACACACGAAAATTTTCCTAAGAATGAAAAGTAAAAACCTATACAGACTTTAACTCTGCAAAAATCACAAAACCGAGCCTCAATATAGTGGAAATGCCCCATTTAAGACCTTTCCTTCCATCTTGTATTCTCATGTGACTGCTTTGTTGACTCTTTTGGTTCCCATTTGTCATTTTTATCTTTTCGGTTTGAGAAGAATCTGTACCTCAGAAGTAAGGAATTAGTCATGACACCCAGAGAGCTTACACCCATGAGAGCCCCCGCCATTGATGGAGTCAACATGGTTCCAGTAAATGGTAGCAACACTCCAGCC